GTGTGTTGGGTGCACGTTGACGAGCTATTCTCCGAGGAGTACTGCCGAGTGGACTTGGGGGGGCCAAGCGTGAACGCGGCAGGGGAGTGTCAACGGGAGTTGTGTGTTGGCCCCGTCCACGCTTGGGCGGAGCCGACTTCGTGGTGGGGTGTACGGAAGGTACAGCCGACTTGCAGCAGTGGGCGACGCCGACTTGGACGAGCTGGTTGACGGGGTTGGTCGACTTGCACGGCGCCACTGCAATACCGCCGACTTGGGAAGCCAGCGGCCGACTTCAACTGGTGGTCGGCGATGTGGCACGTCGACCTGGAAGTCGGCGCCGACTTGCAAGGTCACCGACTTGCAAGGTCACCGACTTGCAAGGTCACCGACTTGCAAGGTCACCGACTTTGCAAGTCGGCGCCGACTTGCAAGGTCGCCGATTTGGGAGGTCGCCAACTTCAAGAGGTCAGTCTGGAAGTCGGCGCCGACGTAGAAGGGGCGTCGACCTGGTGACGCCGACTTGGGTAGCTGACAACTGCACTGGTCGACCAGGAGTGACGTCGACCTGGATCTGGTCGACCGGAGGAGTGGTCGACCTGGTGAGGTCGACCTGGTGTGGTTGTCGACTTGGGAGGTCGACGAGCACATACAGGAGCAGCTGGTCGACATAGTTGCCCGGTCGACCAGGATACCTGGGTGACGAGTGTCTGCGAAGGAGTGCGACGGTCACCCAGGCGAAGTTGGCGAGACCGACCTCCATGGTGGTATCCCGAGGTCGTCGTGGCGGATCAGAGGCAGTCGCTAGCCCGAGGTTGACGTGGTGTGTGCGCTGTGCAGGTGACGAGACTTTGCATGCCAATCATCTGCGCGCACCTGCAAAGCGGGTGCACTGCTGTCCTGCGTGAGCAATGCTGGCACACCGTCAACCTGCAGCGTTGGCAAGCTGTCGACTTTGCACTACTGTAGCGTGGTCGACCAAGTCGTGCTGGAACGCGGTCGACCATGCTGTGCTGGCAGTCGACCAACCTGAATGCTAGCTCTGATGTAGTCTTGCATTGCCAACTTCATTGTACCATTATTGACAACTTTCTCTAGTGAAACTCTTGCCAAATTGCCCCGTGAACTAGCAACCAGTGTGAGCACTAGGAAAACGTCTAAGGACCAACGAACGCAGACATCACACGAGCACACGTGCCTAGCCAGTACTCTAAGCTCCCGTTGTAGTAGTTATCTTCTCACTTACCTCGCTGGGGCTCGCCTGAGTCTTCGTCGGTGCGTGTCAATGCGATCACGATGAAACGCGCTGTAGCGGCCGGAGCTGACGTGTACGCGGTTGACATTCGGGAAGCCGAGGCAGCAGACAAGGGAGGGGATTTACAGAAACTGCTGACCGACGTACCGAGTGATCTGGCAGCACTGTTAACACGATACAGTGACATTTTCCCGGATGACTTACCGACGGGACTGCCACCTCAGCGACCGCACGATCACAGGATAGAACTGGAACCGGGGGCACAGCCAACAGTACAGCGATAGTTCAGACTGACCCAACCCGAACTAGACGAACTAAGGAAGCAGGTCGATTACCTGCTCGAGAAAGAATTCATTCGCCCTAGCTCGTCGCCCTTCGCCGCACCAATACTGTTCACACCGAAAAAGGACGGGGGTTTTCGCATGTGCATCGACTACAGGGCACTGAACAGGGTTACCATCAAATCCCGTTACCCCATCCCACGAGCCAACGAACTGATCGACCAACTGCGCACAGCCCGGGTTTTCTCGAAATCCGACCTCCGAGGAGGCTACCACCAAATCCGCGTCAACCCACCCGACTGCCCTAAAACCGCATTCCGAACACGCTACGGATCCTTCGAATACACCGTCATGCCATTCGAACTGACCAACGCCCCCGCCACTTTCCAAATGACCATGAACGAAGCATTTCGCCCACTTTTAGATAAGTGCGTCATCGTTTATCTGGACGACATACTGATTTACAGCCCTGACAGAGCACAGCACTTACAAGACATCGAAGCAGTTTTTAAAATCCTAAGTGAGAACCGCCTACTGACCAAAGCATCTAAGTGTGAGTTTTTACAGGACCGCCTGGAGTTTTTGGGACATGTTATTTCAGCTGCAGGAGTGGAAATAGACCCGAAGAAAATTGCGACGATTCAGGCTTGGCACGCGCCGACCAACTTGACCGAGTTGCAGAGTTTCCTGGGGTTCGTCAACTACGTGCGCCGGTTCGTCCCCGACATGGCGAAGCTGACTGCCCCGTTGACCGACCTGCTGAGGAAGGGGGTTGAGTACACGTGGGGGGAGAAAGAGCAAGCTGCCTTCTCGGCCCTCAAAAATATTTTGTGCTCCCCGCCCGTCCTTCACATTGCAGATCCCCACCGTCCGTTCGAGCTCGTCACCGACGCAAGTGACATCGCTGTGGGAGCAGTACTGTTGCAGGACTTCGGGAACGGCCTCCAGCCAATCGCGTACGAGTCCCGCAAACTACACCCGCCCGAACGTAACTACCCGATACACGACCGCGAGATGCTAGCGATCGTGCACGCGTTCAAAGTTTGGCGATGTTACCTGACTGGCGCCGACGTGACAGTACGGACAGACCACCGCTCGCTACAGTACCTTCGCGCCCAACCGAATCTCAACCCACGACAGATTCGCTGGTTGGACTATCTCGAGTCCAATTTTCACTACACCGTTACGTACAAAAAGGGTGCATCCAACATCGCCGACGCTCTCACCCGCCCCACCGCCCAACTCCACGCCATCCTACTCGCCCAGACCAACCCGCTTTTAACTGGCCTATTCACCCACGGATACCGCACCGACCCATTTTTCACGACCGGAAATTCACAGCAACTGGCAGAAGCAAAAGGAGTTTATTACGTAAAAACAGGCACTAACCGCATTTGGGTACCCGCGTACTCACTACTGAGGGAGCTGCTACTGCAGGAGGCACACGACGGGATTACCTCGGGACATTTCGGGGTAGAAAAAACGCGACAGCAACTGCAGCGGTATTAGTACTGGCCGGAGCTGTTGACCGACGTACACCAGCACGTGGGCTCGTGCCCGACGTGTCAGGTGATGAAGAGTTCAAGGAAGCGGAAGGCGGGTCAATTGCAGCCGATCCCACCGCCCGAACGCGCCTGGCAGCAAGTAACCATGGACTTCGTCACAGGGTTACCTTCGAACCCTGGGGGTAACGACGCGGTAATGGTCGTCGTGGATAGGCTGACGAAGATGGCACAATTCGCTGCGTGCAAAAAGTCGATCTCAGCCGAGGAGACCGCTCGCCTGTTCATCGCAGCCGTTGTTCGCCTGCACGGGATACCAGCAGCAATTATCAGCGACAGGGACACGAAGTTTACCAGCAACTTCTGGAAGAACCTCTGGGAGCAGTTCGGGACCAGGCTACAGTTCAGCTCGTCGTACCACCCCGAGACCGACGGCCAAACGGAGCGGACGAATCAGACGATGGAGCAGTTGATTCGTGCCACGTGCGACGACCCCACGACCTGGGAGCAGCAGCTGCCGCTGATCGAGTTCGCGTACAACAACGCCACATCAGCCACGACGCAGCAGTCCCCGTTCTACCTGAACTATGGGCAAAACCCCACAGTGCCCATGACGCCGAGTGCGGACAACCCAACGCCACGTGCACAACAATTCGCCGAAATCCTGCAAGCTGCCCGCGCCAGAGCCGCCGAAGCAATAAAAAAAGCCAACGTCATCGCTAAGCGCAACGCTGATCGCCACCGCCGTCCTGTCACGTACCAATCTGGAGATTACGTGCTGCTTGACACGCAAAATCTGCGACTGCCCGACGTACCAAAATTACGACCGCGCTACTGTGGACCATTCCAAATCAGTCACATGATCACACCCGTCACCGCGCACCTACTGTTGCCAACCGACTGGTACATCAGCCCTTCGTTCCACGTCAGCCTACTTCGCCCGTACATCCCGACCACAAGTCAACTGCCGCGTCACCGGCCACAATCAATGACTCGCCCTGCATCAGAGCCGATCATCGAGCCCGAAAAAATTCTGAGCCATCGGATCCGCCACCCCACGGGAATCAGGAGGATTGAATTCCTCGTTCGCTGGAAAGACCCCACGCCAACTGAAGATAGCTGGGTGCCCCTGAGCAACATCGAAAATCACCCTGCCCTGCAAGTGTACCTGAGGAGCCGGGGATTCCGCGATATACACGCACTCGCGTAGCGGAAGGGGCTTCTTAAGGGGGGGGGTAGTGTAAGGAATTTTCTCGGCATTCCTTACGGAGCCGACTACATCGCGTACAGCAACAGCCGATTGTTCGCCCGTTACTGCTAACGGAACTTCGCCGACTTCGCGCGCACTGTTTTGCCAAACCTCGCACTGCTGGCATGGCCGTATCGGCCTACGCTTCGGGACTAACCCGAGCCTCGCTCCAGCGTAGCACTAGCAAGCTCGCACGCACCGCGTTACCGTTTTGCATGTTTCGCGTATAAATGTTCGCTCATGCCTTCGCTCACATTTTGTACTCGTTTGACACCTTAGTGCAATTCTCGCTACCTTGATTCATTGCACCCGTAACAGTGGCGCACTGGCGCTACATGCCAAAGCTAAATTCACGCGTGCGACAACTCAAAATCCATCCAATACTTCGACCTCACCACATCAGTTTATAAATATCCAGAGTCATTTATATATATTTATCGAAAGAATTTCACATTATACACTTCGAGCCCGCCAATACAGTGTCATGCTTGAGCTACTATGCTGAATAGACAGCTCCCCGCCATTGACCGCCAAGGCTGACCCCAAAGCCTTGGACTTCAAGATTTTCCCCTAAAACCTCCCAAGCCGAGATGTCTTTGCTGCCGAAATATTAACGCGTGGATTGTTGTTTAGTTAGGTCACGCAGAAAACTGCGTGCTGATTTACTAATTCCGCAGTTTACGCGTGGATACCTGCGGTTTCCCCCGCGTCAGGACTGTGCGTAAGGAGCAGCCATGGCGAAGGATAAGGGCTGGGTGGAGAAGGGGAAACGCAAGCAAGGACGAGAGTCGAAGAAACAACATGCGCAGTCCACCCGACGTTTCAGAGTGAGCCTTACTCGAAGCTAATACCTATAGCGCAATAAAATCACGCACGACCAAGTCACAACTCGTGTTCAGCAAGGTGTAATGATGCTGAAACAGCGAATAAGGCTCATCCAGCGAGAGATTATTAGGTTTGTACGTGAAGCGTGTATGAACTGCTCGCGTTTACTCAGTTAATGCTGAATCCCTACAAAATCCCCCGACATGCATGCATCCTCCTCTTGTCCCCTGACCCCTAACCCCTTGCGCGCGTGGTGCCTTGCGCGCGTTCCGCAGTTCAAGAGCTTCACGCGGCAGGTGGAGGAGGCGCAGGTGGATGTTTTCCGCTCGCTCGCGCCCGCGCAGCAGCAGCCCTCCGCCGGCTGCTCCTCCTTCTTCCAGCAGGCGCTGCTGCACTGGCGGGTCAGTCCCCGCCCGCGCCCTCCCCTTGTTTCCCCCCCTCTCCGCCACGTCTTCTCCCCTCACACCCTCGCCTTTCTGGCTCCCATTTCTCACTCGCCGCTCCCCATGCCTCCCCGTGCGCCCCCATTCCCTCCCATGCCCCCCCATTCCCTCCCATGGCCCCCCATTCCCTCCCATGCCCCCCCATTCCCTCCCATGCCCCCCCATTCCCTCCCGTGCCCCCCCATTCCCTCCCATGCCCCCCCATTCCCCCCCATGCCTCACATGACCCCCCATGCCCGCCATAACGAGACTCCCCATGAACTCCCATATCCCCCGACAAACCCCCATGCCCTCCCATACCTTCTAATGCTTCCCCCCGTCGCCCATCTCCCCTCATGCCCCCCATGCCCCCGTGCCCCCCCATACCTTTCCCCCCCTCACCCCCCTCAGGAGCTGAGCGCAGCAGTGGATTTCAACGAGGTGCACAGCGAGGTGGCGCCGCTGGTGGCGTCGCTGGCGCAGCTCGTCTTCCACCGCCACCGCATCGTGCACGCGCTGCTAGCACGCCTCTCCATGCGCGCCCTCCTCTCCCTCCCACCCCTCCTCAGGTGCCCAACCCTCTCCTCTCCCCCCTTCTCCTCGCCCCCTCCCCTTCGCTGCTTTCATTTCACTCCTTGTGTATGCACGTGCCACGGCCTCTCACGTGCCACGGCCTCTCATGTGCCACGGCCTCTCACGTGCCACGGCCTCTCACGTGCCACGGCCTCTCATGTGCCACTGCCTCTCACGTGCCACGGCCTCTCACGTGCCACGGCCTCTCACGTGCCACTGCCTCTCACGTGCCACGGCCTCTCACGTGCCACGGCCTCTCACGTGCCACGGCCTCTCACGTGCCACGGCCTCTCACGTGCCACTGCCTCTCACGTGCCACTGCCTCTCACGTGCCGCCCCTCACATGCAGCCACTAGACCCCTTCTGGTGGTGTCGACGTGGCACCAACATGTGCGTGTTCATCATTGCTCCTCCCCTCCGTCTCCCCCCTGCCCCTCTTCCCTCTCCCCTCTCCCATCTCCCCCTCTGTCCTGTGTGCTCTCCCTGCTCCCGCCTCCCCTTGCCCGTGGCCTGCTGCGTGCATGGGCACAGCCTGCTGGGCACGCTCGCGCGGGACCTGCAGCACGACTTCCTGCCGTGAGTGCTGCCACCCCCCTGCACTGCACTGCAAGGGGCATGGTGTGAGGGAGTGGCACGGGTTGGGATGTGCTGGGAATAATGTGATGTGAGGGCGTGGCGTGCTATGTGAGTAGCGGCAAGTGCTCCTCACTCATGACGCCTCTCTCTGCTAGACTAGCAATCTCGAACCCTTGTCTCCGCCTCTTCTGCTTTCCAATCACTCCTGCTGCTCGCTCTCCTGCGTGCAGCTTCCTGCCGCTCTGCCTGGACGCCTGCCTGCGTCTGCTGCAGCAAGGGGCGGACAGAGACGCCGCCGTGCTACAGCAGGTCAGCCCACGTATGCCAAACTCTTCATGCTTCTCACTAACCAACCAACCTTCGCTTTGCTGAATTCCCCCTGCCCGCCTACCTTCTCCTTGCTCCTACCCTCTGTTCTCGCCCCCCGTCCCCCCACGCCCACCCCCCCTGGTGTTGTGCAGGTGGTGGAGTGTGTGGCGCAGATGGGTAAGCACCTGCGCCACTACCTCACACCTGATATCGTCACCCTCCTCAAGTGAGCCAATTCTTTCCCTCCCCACCCCACTCCCCCCTCCTCTCTCGCTGCATGGTCCTCGCGCTCCGCCCCATCTCATTTCTCACCATTGCACACCCCCCCTCCTCCTAGACATGTGCACTGAGTCGAGTTTCTCGACTCGACTCGATCGGGGGACTCGACACGGGTCGAGTGTCGAGTCCGCGAATCCTCTGAAAAAACTCGACCGAGTCGAGTCGAGTTTTACCCGTCGATTTTAAAAAAGGCTCGGTGAAAGCTCGGCCCCACATCGAGTTTTTTGCAGACTCGACGAGCTTTTGAGGCTCGAGCGAGTTTACGAAAAACTCGGTCGCGACATTGGCAGCAAGGACAAATTGTAAGAATTTCACTTTGGCGGGTTCTTTTTAGATCGCGATTTCAGTTAGTCCTCTTCCTAAGCCCTTCGTAAGTGGAAACTTGAGCCTAGACAGCCAAACTCGTGGCTGGTTTTTCATCTTCAACTTAACTTAGGTCTAGGAAATTGTACATCTCTCAGTTTATAGTTTGTTAATGTCGCGTTTTTCTCATGTGCATTTTTCCGATTAGGGTTTCCTGAGGCAGAATCGCACCTATTGAACGGTAGATCTGGTTTATTTATGATGGCCAAATTTAAGCAAGGGGTGAGTAAGAACCCTTGTACAAAAAAATTTGGTGTTTCCACAGCCCCCGCCGGCCCCCCCCCTCCTCCCCCCCCTCCCCTCCCCCCCCCCCCCCCCCCCCCCCCCCCCGAGCCGAGTCTTACTCGGCTCGACCGAGTGTAAGAGAAAAGCCCGTCGAGTTTTTTAACACTCGGGCCCTATTTGGCCGAGTCTCGAGTCCAGCATCATGAGAAAAAAACTCGGTCGAGTTTCCCCCGACTCGAGCTCGAACTCGGTCGGGGCTCGAGCCAGACCGAGCCGAGTTTTACTTGACTCGGTCAGTTGCTCATGTCTACCTCCTCCCCAACCCCTTCACCACCTCATCCCCTATGACTGCCCCCTCGTGCCCTCTCTTCTGCCCCCTTTCTCCCCACTCTCCCCCACTCCCCTCACCCCTCCCCCCAACAGGATGACCAAGGCACTGCGGTTCTACCCGGCGGACTATGTGCGCGAGCTGGTGGCGCACAGCCTTGCCTTCGTGCTGCGCACTGCCCCGCCCAAACAGATGGCCCGCGGTGCGCACAACGGGGCAGTGGGATTGGAAATGGGGATGGGGATGGGGATGGGGATGGGCATGGTGGGGTGGGGGCCCGAGTGTGAGGGGCATGGCAGTCGCTGGAAGACGTGGGGAAGGTCTGTGTGAGAGGGATGCGCTGATTAACACAGGAGCAGATCAGATTAAGGAGGTAGCGAAGGAGGTTGGCAGAGTGGGAGGGTAGCAGAGAAATGGATGCATGGGACAGGGATTGTTGTCGTGCCAGAGATGCCATGCCTGCTGTTGCCACCCATCGTCTGTTCCATCTCTTGTGTAGCTTGGAATTCACTCCCTATTCTCTCCATCTTCTTCCCACTTTCCCGTGCTTCAAACCCTCCCTCAACTCCCCCAGGCGTGCGGTGGGTGCTGGCAGAGGCGAGGGCGGTGGCGTGTGAGGAGAGGGAGAGCGGGGTGGCGCTGCTGCTGGCCAATGCAGCCAAGGGCCCCGCGCACTCGCTGCACTCCAAGGCCGCGCCCCTGCTGCTGCGCCTGCTGCTGCTGCCCTCCTCTCTGCGCCCCCCCGCGCTGCTGCTGCTGCAGGGCCAGCGAGGTGAGCCTATTGCGTGGGTGGGTGGGTGGGTGAGGCGACAAGTGAGGTGGGGGGACGTGTGTTGTGCTGTGGGGCGAATGGGTGTGTTGTGCTGTGGGGCGAATGGGTGTGTTGTGCTGTGGGGCGAATGGGTGTGTTGTGCTGTGGGGCGAATGGGTGTGTTGCTGTGGGGCGAATGGGTGTGTTGCTGTGGGGCGAATGGGTGTGTTGTGCTGTGGGGCGAATGGGTGTGTTGCTGTGGGGCGAATGGGTGTGTTGCTGTGGGGCGAATGGGTGTGTTGCTGTGGGGCGAATGGGTGTGTTGCTGTGGGGCGAATGGGTGTGTTGCTGTGGGGCGAATGGGTGTGTTGCTGTGGGGCGAATGGGTGTGTTGCTGTGGGGCGAATGGGTGTGTTGCTGTGGGGCGAATGGGTGTGTTGCTGTGGGGCGAATGGGTGTGTTGCGCTGTGGGGCGAATGGGTGTGTTGCTGTGGGGCGAATGGGTGTGTTGCTGTGGGGCGAATGGGTGTGTTGCTGTGGGGCGAATGGGTGTGTTGCTGTGGGGCGAATGGGTGTGTTGCTGTGGGGCGAATGGGTGTGTTGCTGTGGGGCGAATGGGTGTGTTGCGCTGTGGGGCGAATGGGTGTGTTGCTGTGGGGCGAATGGGTGTGTTGCGCTGGGGCTGTGTGGGAAGCCTTTTGATCTGATGGCGCTCGTGGCAGGTCCCATTATGGTTGAAGAACGTGGGTGACACATGGTGAGGTGACACGCTGGCGCAGCACTGCCCACACAGCAAACCCCCTTCCTCCCCATTCCCCCCTCCTTCTGTGTCCCCCTCCTTCTGTGTCCCCCTCCTTCTGTGTCCCCCTCCTTCTGTGTCCCCCTCCTTCTGTGTCCCACTCCTTCTGTGTCCCCCTCCTTCTGTGTCCCCCTCCCCGTGTCACCCATCCCCTGTCATTCCCTCCAGCTGCTGGTGCTGCTGACGTGGCGCTGACAGTTGTCACACGTGTGATACGCCTGCTTGCCGCCCACCTCACTCCCGCCACTGCCGGCCCTCTCCTCTCCCTGCTCCTCACAACCGCCTCACAAGCAGTGCAGGGGGGGCGGGATGGGGGCAAGGGAGGCGCGGGTGGGGAGGATGAGGGCAAAGGAGAGGAGCAAGGGGATGGGGAAGAGGGCGAGGAGGGGGGCGAAGGGAAGGAGGGTGGTGTGAGTGGGGGCGGGGGGCGATGGGAGGAGGCGCGGCGGATAGCGGACGTGGTTCACTTGCTGAATGCAGCGCTGCAGCACCGACGAGGCATGCTGGTCACCCACCTCTCCCCCTTCGTCTCTCTCTCCCTCTCCCTCGCCTCCCACCCTCTCCTCCTCGCCTCCCTCCGTTCCTCCTCCCCCTCGCTCCCCCTCCCTGCCCCTCCTCGCTGCTCTCAGCAGCAGCAGGAAAATGGGGAGGGGGAGACGGGGGAGGGCGTGGGGGGAGCAGCAGGCACAGCGGGGGATGCAGGGGAGGGGGAGGATGCAGGAAGGGAGGGGGATAAGGTGCAGCACGAGGTGGTGAGGGAGGTGATGCTGCTGCTGCTGGGGGTGATGAGGAGGGAGCGGAGGAGGAAGGCAGGCCAGGGAGGGGAGGGGCAGGAGCGGGGAGGTGAAGGCGAGGTGGAGGGGGAAGGGGAGGGGGAGATAGCGCGGGCGGTGCCGCGGTGGGAGGTGCTGTTTGACTGCTGCAATGACACCCTGTGAGTGCCGCTGCCATTGGTATAATATGCTGGCAATCATCCTCTCCTTGTTCCATTTAACCATCCAAGGTTTTTATGCTCTTCCTGACTCACTGTATGCAACGAGTTTCATCCTCCCCTCTCCTCCTCCGCTCCCACCCCTCCCCTCCTGCCCTCTCCACCATGCCCACACCCATGGCACATGTCGCTCGACACATGGCGCATGGTGTATGACATGACGTGGCAGCATGCTGTGGTTCCTGCGCCAGCTGGCACAGCTGCAACCCCACGTGCTGCGCCTCCTGCTGCCCCCCACCATGCGGTAACCACACTCTACCTCACCCCCCACCCGCTCATGCGCGATTCGCACATCCCTGTGTTGATGCTTTTCGCCCGTGCAGTCACTTCCCCGCACCCATCCGCCATTGATGCTTTTCGCACACTGCTGCATGGCCGTGATGAAGCCATCGCCCATGCCACCACACCACGACTTGCACCTCACTGCGCCCCCCCTCACCTCGCACAACCACTTCCGTGGCCCGTTCCACGCCAACTCTGCGCCCCCGCCCCTCTCCCCCCCTCCCTCCAATTTCTACCCCCCCTCCCATGCAGCGCATTGAACCGCCTGGCTGCATCTCACCCCGCCCCCGTTCTGCTCATCTTCTTGGAGCTTGCCGAGAAGCTTCCTGACTGCCTTGCTGGCTCCACACTGCAGCAGGGCAGTAAGGGGGGGGAGGGCAAGGCGAGGGGAGGGCTGCAGCAGCTGGTGGGGGGGCTGGTGGAGGGGGGCGTGGTGGGGGGAGAGGGGGAGGAAGAGGAGAAAGGAGGAGGGAGAGGGGAGGAGCGAGTGGGTGAGAAGGTGAGGGGGAGTGCGAGGCAGGCTCTTGTGTGGGCGGCAGTGCGATGTCTGAAATCATTACCTGTGATGACGTGGCAAGACAACCTGATTCTGTGTCAGCACGTGATTACTAATGTGTCACGCCAGCTAGGCACGTCCCTTGAATCACAGAGTGAAAAGGGAGGCGAGGGGCAGGAAGAAGCAGATGGAGAGCAGGCGGGGAAGGGGAGGGTGCGCAAGAGGAGGAAGCGGCAGCAAGGCGAGGAGGGAAGTGAAGGGTCGCTTGGGAGGGCAGTAGCTGCTGTCCCCCGCCCGCCCGTTGCTGCATTTATGGATTCACACCAAAGCCGGCAGCAGCAGCAGGAAGCGAGCGAAGCATGGGAGGGAGTGCTGGCAGCAGCACTGGAGACCCACTCAGTGCTGCTCTCATCGCACTCTGCTGCCAACCTGCCTTGCCACCTGCCGCTCTACCTCTCTGCCGCCCGCCACCACTGCCGCTCGCTGCCTATCCTCTCCGCCGTTGCTCTCTTCCTGCAAGCCTTCCCCAGGTGCGCCCCCCCCTCGTGCAGCTCATCCCCCACTCCTGCACTCATCCCATCTCCCCCTGGTACACTTTAACTTCCCCACGTGTTCTCCGTGTCACCGCGTCACCATCCGCCTCGTAACATGTGCGTTTCGCACACGCCCCTTAACATGAACTGTCTGCTTGAGATATCCAGTTCTCACTTGCTCCCTCGTTTCTCCTCGGTTTCACCAGGGCTCAAGTGGGTGACACGTCAGCATCTCTGCCCGCCTTCCCACCTGATCTGTCAGCCAACCACATGCCTGCAATGCTTGAGGCACTACAGGACAACTTCTGCCACCCAGCACGTGAAATGCGGGTGGCATCGTTGCGCATTATCTGTCATTTCGCCCCCCTGCTTGTGCGGGTGGGGGGAGAGGGGGGAGAGGCGAGGGGGAGAAGCAAAGGGAAGAGGAGGGCGGAGCAAGCAGCAGGGGGGGCGGTGGTGGTCGCAGGAGAGGACGCTGAGCCGTGTCTGGTGGGTGCCATGCCTTGCCATGCCTTGCCATGCCATGCCATGCCTTGCCATGCCATGCCATGCCTTGCCATGCCATGCCATGCCATGCCATGTGCTGTGCGGTTGGGATCACATGTGCAGCTGGGTCTATGTGGGTTTGGGTCATTCCCCACTGCTCACATGCATCCTTCGCCCCCCCCACCCCTCCATGCCTCTGTTGTTCTCAGGTGTTTCACCAGGTGGAAGAACTGGAGTCAGCACCCTACGACCTGCAGATGGGCCGGCACGCTGCCACAGCATTGGCTGCCCTTGCTGCTCATGCCACATCAGCACGGCTGCCCAACCAGCTGCTGCCAGCTGTCAGTCGCTGTGTGCTGGGGCTACTGCACTCCAAGTTTGCGATGATGTGGCAGCCTGCCATTGGCTGCCTTGCAGGTGAGTCCCTCGTTTGTCACTTCCCTTTCATCACAACACTCCTAGTCTCCACACTTCCTTCACCTGTCTTCCCGCCCGTCGCTTCTGACCTCCCATTCTCTGCCTTGTCTTCTTCGTCCATCTCATGCTGCTCCGTTCCTCTCTCCCAACCTCCCCCCACCATCCCCTTCCGCCCTGGCATGCATTGATTCCCTCCTCGCCTCATATTTCACCACATTTCCGCACTCCCCTGGTCCCTCGCCCTCCCAGCGCTGCTCTCCGCCCACCCCTCTTCCACCTGGCTCGTGGTGTGGCGGGAGCTGCGCCACCTGCAAGGAAGCTTCCTGCTGGCGGCAGCTGGTGCACCTGCAGAGTCAGGCGGTGGGGCGCAAGGCGAAGGGCAAGGGGAGGAAGGAGAGGATGGCGGAGGGGAGGAGGGGGGAGAGCACGAGGATGGGGAGGATGGCAGCGGCAGTGGTGCAGGTGATTATTGGGGTACCTGACAGGGCTGCACAGCACATGGTGGTGTGGGGCATGGTGCATGGGGCACAGGGCATGGTTGATATGGGGCATGGGGCATGAGATGCATTTCGCAACATAAAGGCTCCATCATGTGTGTCAAGCATGGTTGGTGGGTACTACTATCCCCTCTCCTGCGCGACCCTGCTCATAGCCCTCTCCCTCTCCTGCGCGACCCTGCTCATAGCCCTCTCCCTCTCCTGCGCGACCCTGCTCATAGCCCTCTCCCTCTCTCTGCTGCATTCCGCCTTGTCTCGCTCTAACTCGGCTCTCCCCCCTGCCTCCTCCTGTACGTCTCACTGCACTACTAGTGCTCCCCTGCACCTCTGCCTGCACCGTTTCTTCCCCTTCCCTCCCCTGCCGCCCCCCACGCCCTTCCCCCTCCTCTCACCGCCAGGCATAACGGATCTCTTCCTGCGCACCGCCATGGCAGTGCCATCAGGAGCTCCTCCGTCAGCAGTGCTGTCGTCGCTGCTGCGCGCCCTCAGGCAGGCGCCAGCAGTGGCCGCCACGCGCCTCTCCCCCGCACCCCCACCGCCTCCATCTGTGGGCACTGCTCTCACGCCGCGTGCTGGCACCTGTGCTGCCAACCTGGCGAGCGGGCAGCAGAGGCGTGGCACGGCGGGGCAGCAGCTGGCGGCCCTCTTCCTGGCATTCGTGGGCGACTCTGATGACTGCCTGTACGCCTCGCTCTTTCTTCCCTGCCTTGCTCCATTCGCCACCCCTTGCACCACTCCTTGTTTGCAGCAAAGTATGTGATTTCTTGTTGTTCCTCCCTTTCATCGCCTCCCCTGTGCGCCCCTTTCGTGCATTATGCTCCTCGCATCCCCCTCTCTCCGCGCACTCACAATGGCACCGGCCCAGTGCCCCCTCAACTCATCTCCCCTTCCTCTCTCTACCCACACCCCCGGCGCTCCCCTCAGGCCGACAGCGCATACAGGGCACGTGGAGATGATACAAGGGGGCGCGGAAAGGGCAGGCAGGGAGGAGGGCGAGGAGGCGGAGGAGGGGGTGGTGGTGAACAGAGCAATGGTGAGGGGCAAGCAGTGGCACGTGGTGCTCTCTGATTGGCTGGAGCTGCTGAAGCGAGTAGAGCTGACAGCGTGTGGCCCCAAGGGAGAGCCACTCAAGCATGTCATCATCGACAGGTGCTGCCCTGCCCTGCCCTGCCCTGCCATGCCATTCCATGCCGTGCCGTATCGTACCGTTCACTGTAATGACCTGCCCCCTGTTGCTCCGTCAGTCCTTTATTCACGCGCCACCATCCGCTCTTCCCGTCAGCCTCACAGCATGCATCCGCCTCGTTGTCCCACCACCTCCACCCCCCTCGTCCCTCTCTCACCCTCACATGAATCAGGTTTCTGGTGCACCCAGATCCGGCGGTGCAGCAGCTAGCGTTGGACTGTCTGGTGGCGTGGCGCCATGGCTGTCTGCCCAAGTACGCCGCCCGCCTCGCCGCCCTCGCCTCCTACCGCTCGCTCAAAGAGACCCTCACCACGTGGGATATCAGCCCCGTGGATGGGGATGGGGAGGAGGGCGAGGAGGAGGAGGAGGGGAGGGTGGCGGAGGCGGACAGGGCGAGTGTGATCCCGGTGATCATTCGCCTGCTGCTGCCCAAGCTCAAGAAGAGGAGCGGGCAGCTCGCAGGGAAGGTGAGGCGAGTGATTCTGCGCAGTGCGCAAGTAGCGGTCATGTCTGCACACGCTTCTCTCCTGCTTGGCATTCTTGCTGCTTCCACTGTCCGTTCTGCACCCTTCTTCACTCGCCGAATCCCCCTATCCCCTCATTCTGCCCTCTCCCAGGCGGCAGCAGGAGTGCAGCGAGGCACAGTGCTGACATTCCTGGCGCGCCTGCCCCCCTCGGAGCTGCTTCCCCTCTTCCACCTCATGCTGCTGCCCTTCCGCCCCGCCCACCAACCGGGCGCGGTAGTGCAAGGAGAGGCAGGCGAGGAGGCGTGGCAGCAGGCGCTGAGGCAAGGAGCCACGGAGGACTTCCTGCTGCTGCTGGGGGAAGGGGGGGATGAGGGGGAGGGGGAAGCGGCGGGGGAGGAGGGGAAGGAAGGGGCAGTAGGAGCGGGAGCGGGAGCGGGAGTGGGAGCAGGAGTGGGGGTGGGGATGGTGGGGCGCAAGCGAGTGAGTGGGTTTCTGCACCTGGCTGTGGACGTGGTGCGCGTGATGAGCCGCCACCAGCTGCAGCCCTACGTGCTCGCCCTGCTGGCCGTCGCCGTGCGCACTGTGCAGTGCTACCCGCCCCTGCCTCCCAGTGCTGCTGGCGGTGAGGGGCGTGTGGAGGAGAGGCTGGATGAGAAAATGGGTGAGGCAGTGGAAGAGAAGGAGATAATAGAAGAGGAAGGGGAGGGAAAGGAGGAAGTAGAGGTTGAGGAGGAGGAGGAGGCAGAGGAGGCAGAGGAGCTTGAAGGGGAGGAAGGGCAGAAAGACGAGGTTATGAAAGGCAAAGAAGAGGGTGCCGATGCTGCTGCTGAGGGGCCTGGCGATGCTGATGAGGATGGGCACAAGGAGGCGGGGGTTGATGCACCTGAGGAAGACAACGAAGACGACGATGATGATACGGAGGCCAATACCAACGCCAGCCAGTCCATCTCCCCTCACGTGCCCAGCTGGACTCGGGAGCTGCGCTCACTCGCCCTGCGACTGCTGGCAGCCATCCTCGCCAAGTTCCCCGACATCGCCACGCGCCCCTCCCTGCCCGCCCCCCTGCGCCCCTGGCCGCTGCTGCTCGCCGCCCTCTCCCCCGCCCTCACCCACCTCGCGGTTGACAACGCCGCCTCCTCCGAGCCTTCCGCGCTGCTCGCGCTGTTGCTCGCCCTCTCACGCTCGCCTCGCCTGGCGCTCCTGCTCGCCTCCCACCCGCACGCACTTCCCGCGCTCTCTGCGCTGCTCTCCTCGCCCTCTGCGCGCCTGCCTGTGGTGGGTGCAGCCATGGGGGTGCTCTCTCACGTGGTGGCGTGGGGCGTGGTGGAGAGGGAGGAGGGTGAGGAGGGGGAGGAGGGCGAGGTGGTGCTGCAATGGGAGCAGGCGGGGGGGCAGATGGGAGGGGAGGTGGAGGGGGTGCGAGTGGCGATAGGCAAGGCCGTGGAGGGGCATCTGGCGGCCATCCTGCCACACATGCAGCAGTTCATTGCAAGGCAGGGTGCACTCTATAGGTAAGGCATTGCTATCCAGCTTGTGTGCGTTCCCTCTTCCTCACGCTCCAATCTCCCTCACTTACCTCTCTGCACTCCCTTCCTCCCCTCCTCACTGTTCCAATCCTCCCACTCTTACCCTTCCCCCCTCTCTCCCCACAATTCTCACTCATGGCATGGCACGGAGCAGCAAGGGGACGGGGAGGGCGCTGAAGGCATCAGCGCTGGCGGTGGTGGGGCGCATGGCAGGCATGGTGACACACGCGCACCTGGCAGGCCAGCTCGCAGCCGCGCTCACGCCCTTCCTCAGGCAGGCAGCGGGCGGCAGGCGGCGAGTGGACGAGAGCACCACAGCGGCCGTGCTGGCAGTGCTGCAGAGCCTGGCGCCGCTGCTGTCCCGCACTGCAGCTGCCACGTGTGTGCGGCTCTTCGCCCCGCTAGTCACCCACCTGCAGTCAAGGCCCGCTCGCCTGGCCCTCGTGCACACGCTCTCTGCGCTCGCTGCCGCCCACCCCTCACACTCCATGCGCCTCCTGGTACACACTTATCCCGTCAACACATGTGCCCATTCATGTGCTCTCCAATCCCTACCCCCTGCCCTCCTCGTCTTTCCTCCTCTGCTTCCCCATGTTCCTCCCTCTACCTCCTAAGACCTCCTTTTCTTCCTTCCGCCTGCCACTGTCTCCCGCTAATGCCGTCCCTCCACCTCCATCCCTTCCCCCCCCCGTCACCTGCAGGCGTCACTAGTGGCGGACCTATGCGCATACGACCCGGCGCGCATAGACGAGTACGACTACACGCGCCGCCTGCACGCCTACACCTCCATGCACTGCCACCTGCCCGACCCTCCCGCCACCTCCACCCCTCCTCCAAAAGACGGTTCTGATAGCGCAGCCACCGCTCTGCAGCGCTCGGCAGAGCAGGTGCAGCAGCAGGTGGTGGTGGCGGTGGGGCGGGAGGGGTGCCTGCTGCTGCTGAGCTGTGCGGTGCGGGACATGGCGGACGAGGACATGTCGCTGCGCCACTCCGCTGCCCACTTCCTGCAGTCCTTCGTGCGCCTCGCTGCTGCCCTCGCTGCTCTCCCTCCCGCCCCTGGTGCCACTGCTGGTGCGAGGAAGGGCAGGGAGGGGGAGGAGGGGGGCGCAGTGAGTGGGAGGGAGGCGAGGGAGCTGGTGAACGCAGTGCTGCTGCGCCACATCAAGAAGGGCCTCCACTCGCCCATCGTCGTCGTGCGCAGGGTATGCCCCCTCCCCTCGCGCAGCGCGCCCCAACCTCTGCTTGGACCCGCTTTAGAGCGCTCGTCTTTTCCCCTGTTGCTGTCCCTGCTGCTTCTTCTCACCCTGCTGCTTCTTCTCACCTTACCCATTCATCTCACCTTACCCATTCATCTCACCTTACCCATTCATCTCACCTTACCCATTCATCTCACCTTACCCATTCATCTCACCTTACCCATTCATCTCACCTTACCCATTCATCTCACCTTACCCATTCATCTCACCTTACCCATTCATCTCACCTTACCCATTCATCTCACCTTACCCATTCATCTCACCTTACCCATTCATCTCACCTTACCCATTCATCTCACCTTACCCATTCATTCTCACCTTACCCATTCATCTCACCTTACCCATTCATCTCACCTTACCCATTCATCTCACCTTACCCATTCATCTCACCTTACCCATTCATCTCACCTTACCCATTCATCTCACCTTACCCATTCATCTCACCTTACCCATTCATCTCACCTTACCCATTCATCTCACCTTACCCATTCATCTCACCTAACCCATTCATCTCACCTTACCCATTCATCTCACCTTACCCATTCATCTCACCTTACCCATTCATCTCACCTTACCCATTCATCTCACCTTACCCATTCATCTCACCTTACCCATTCATCTCACCTTACCCATTCTTCTCACCTTACCCATTCATCTCACCTTACCCATTCATCTCACCTTACCCATTCTTCTCACCTTACCCATTCATCTCACCTTACCCATTCTTCTCACCTTACCCATTCTTCTCACCTTACCCATTCATCTCACCTTACCCATTCATCTCACCTTACCCATTCATCTCACCTTACCCATTCATCTCACCTTACCCATTCATCTCACCTTACCCATTCATCTCACCTTACCCATTCTTCTCACCTTACCCATTCTTCTCACCTTACCCATTCATCTCACCTTACCCATTCTTCTCACCTTACCCATTCATCTCACCTTACCCATTCATCTCACCTTACCCATTCATCTCACCTTACCCATTCATCTCACCTTACCCATTCATCTCACCTTACCCATTCATCTCACCTTACCCATTCATCTCACCTTACCCATTCTTCTCACCTTACCCATTCATCTCACCTTACCCATTCTTCTCACCTTACCCATTCTTCTCACCTTACCCATTCATCTCACCTTACCCATTCATCTCACCTTACCCATTCTTCTCACCTTACCCATTCATCTCACCTTACCCATTCATCTCACCTTACCCATTCATCTCACCTTACCCATTCATCTCACCTTACCCATTCATCTCACCTTACCCATTCATCTCACCTTACCCATTCATCTCACCTTACCCATTCTTCTCACCTTACCCATTCATCTCACCTTACCCATTCATCTCACCTTACCCATTCATCTCACCTTACCCATTCATCTCACCTTACCCATTCATCTCACCTTACCCATTCATCTCACCTTACCCATTCTTCTCACCTTACCCATTCATCTCACCTTACCCATTCTTCTCACCTTACCCATTCATCTCACCTTACCCATTCATCTCACCTTACCCATTCATCTCACCTTACCCATTCATCTCACCTTACCCATTCATCTCACCTTACCCATTCATCTCACCTTACCCATTCATCTCACCTTACCCATTATCTCACCTTACCCATTCATCTCACCTTACCCATTCATCTCACCTTACCCATTCATCTCACCTTACCCATTCATCTCACCTTACCCATTCATCTCACCTTACCCATTCATCTCACCTTACCCATTCATCTCACCTTACCCATTCATCTCACCTTACCCATTCATCTCACCTTACCCATTCATCTCACCTTACCCATTCTTCTCACCTTACCCATTCATCTCACCTTACCCATTCATCTCACCTTACCCATTCTTCTCACCTTACCCATTCATCTCACCTTACCCATTCTTCTCACCTTACCCATTCTTCTCACCTTACCCATTCATCTCACCTTACCCATTCATCTCACCTTACCCATTCATCTCACCTTACCCATTCATCTCACCTTACCCATTCATCTCACCTTACCCATTCTTCTCACCTTACCCATTCTTCTCACCTTACCCATTCATCTCACCTTACCCATTCATCTCACCTTACCCATTCATCTCACCTAACCCATTCATCTCACCTTACCCATTCATCTCACCTAACCCATTCATCTCACCTTACCCATTCATCTCACCTTACCCATTCTTCTCACCTAACCCATTCATCTCACCTAACCCATTCTTCTCACCTAACCCATTCATCTCACCTAACCCATTCATCTCACCTAACCCATTCATCTCACCTTACCCATTCATCTCACCTAACCCATTCATCTCACCTAACCCATTCATCTCACCTAACCCATTCATCTCACCTAACCCATTCATCTCATTTAGCTGCTGCACTGGAACTGGCCCAAAAGCCCTCTTTCTACCTCCCTCACTCCCTTTCTCCCTACACCGTGACCCTGCACCCATCTCCTGCTCGCATCAACCTCGCTTCCATGTCCCACCATACAGGAGTGGGTGCTGTTGCTGCGTGACGTGGCGCTGCACATGGGTGCCACGTCACCAGTGGCGGAGCTGAGGTGTCTGGTGAGGGAGGATGACGTGGAGGCGGATTTCTTCCACAATCTCGTGCATCTGCAGACTCACCGCCGCGTGCGAGCGCTCACCAAGTTCGCCGCCCTCTGCCCCACCGCCCACTTCTCTCCGGTATGGCAACTTTACACTGGGAGTATTCATCCACACCATCTGTGGGCCGAATTCCAGGCTGTGCCTTGCATACATCTCACATGCCAGCTCACTGCCCACACCACTTATGCATGCCACGCAAGTATTTAGCGTTGTACCAAGAAGCGAGCTCTCCCTCTCTCAACACTCTATATCTCTCGCGCATTGCCCCCCACCCCCCCCCCCCCCTGCACGCATCTCCTCCACCTCCTTCCCCCACACCCACACCAGGAGGTGTTGCTGGAGGCGGTGGTGCCAGCGCTGCTACGGCAGCTGGTGGAGGGGCGGCCGGACAGTGAGAGCGGCGTGATGGACGCCACCATGGCCGCCCTCTCCGCCCTGGCCGCCCGCCTGCCCTGGCCCGCCTTCCACTCCCTGCTCTCCCGCCTGCTGGCTCTGCTGCCACGGCGCAAGGAGAAGGGCGAGCAGTGGTGGGAGGAGAGCAAGGGCAGGGGCGGGGGGAGGGGTGGCGAGGAGGTGAGTGCGGCGGGGCAGCGGGCGATTCTGAGGGCCATCTGTGGCGTGCTGGAGCAGGTGAAGCACGTGGTGGGGGTGGGGGGAGGGGAGGAGAAGGGTGACAAGGAGGAAGAGAAGGGTGAGAAGGAGGGTGTGGATGGGAAGGAGGGTGGAGAAGCGGGTGGGAAGGATGGGGACGAGGGGAAGGAGATTACTGATAAGGAGAGCAAGGGAGGAAAGGAGGAGATCAGGCAAGTGGCAGCAGCGGAGGCAGGGAAGGAGGAGGGGGGAACGGCAGTGTCGCTGCGCATACAGCAGGTGTTGCTGAAGGACATCATCCCTCAGCTGTCCAAGCACCTCGTGGCAGGCGAGGCGGGCCGCGAGGAGGTGAACTCGCATGTGGCGCTCGCCGTGACGCGCACGCTGCTGCTGCTGCCGCCCGATGCCATCCGCTCGCACCTCCCCGTGCTCCTGCAGACCGTCGTCAACCCCCTCAAGTCGCGCTCGCAAGGGACGAGAGACGCCGCCCGGGCGGCGCTGTGCCAGGTGGCGGGGGCGCTGGGTCCGGCCTACCTGGGGTACGTGATCGGCGTGCTGCGCAGCGCGCTCACACGCGGGTTCGAGCGCCACGTGCTCGGCTTCACGCTGCACGCACTGCTGCTGCACGCCGCCACCACCCACGGACGCACCATGCCCCCAGGTGCCCTGGACTACTGCCTGGGCGAGTGCCTAGCAGTGGCGGTGGAGGGGCTGCTGGGGCAGGTGGCGGAGGAGAGGGAGGTGGACGCGGTGGCAGCGGGCGTGCGGGAGAAGCGCCAGAGCCGGTCGCTGGAGACGGTGCGCATCGCTGCCTCGCTGGTGAACGTGCGGCGCAGCACGGCCCTGCTGCTCGCCCCCATCCGTGCCGCCCTGCCTGCATCGCTGGATCCGAGGGTGAAGCGGCACGTGCAGGAGATGGTCAGACATATGGCCATTGGGCTGCTGGCCAATCAGCACGCGACAGCTGGCGACCTGCTGGTGCTGGTGCACGCGGTGCTGTGGGAGGGCGTGCGCGTGGAGCAGGCACATGCGGCCGCAGTGGGTGAGCGGAAGCGACTGCGTGTGGAGGCTCGGGAGGGGAAGGGTGGGGGGGAAGGGAAGGGGGAGGAAGGAGGGATGGAGGAGGAACTGGGTGAGGAGTGTGGGATGGAAGGGGAGGAAGCGGAGGGCAAGGTAGGAGGGCGGAGGAGACGGAAGAAGCAGAAGGGGTTGGGGTTTGAGGGGATGCCGAACGGGCATGTGGTGGCGCTGCTGGGCCTGCAGCTGCTGCTCTCCCTCGCCTCGCACGACCGCCTGCCCGCATCTGACCCCGCCCTCACACCGCGCCTCAATGCCCTGGTGCACCCGCTCTCCCTCGCCCTCTCCTCGCCCCACGACGCCGTGCTAGCAGCCTCTTTCCGCGCCCTCGCCTTCCTCCTCCACCGCCGCCTCCCCTCCGTCGCCACCGTTGCCCCCCGCGTCGCCACGTCAGCGTTCAAGGTGGTGCAGCAGGCGGGGCGGGCGGCGGCCGTGGCGGGCGGCATGGTGCACTCGTGTCTGAAGCTGCTAGCCGTGCTGCTAGACAGATGCCCCGAGGTGAAGGTGGGCGAGGAGCAGGTGCGAGCGCTGCTGGGCAGTGCAGTCTTCACAGACCTCGAGCTGCCCTCCACTCGCACCACCGCCTTTGCCGTTCTGCGCGCGCTGCTGCGGCGGCGAGTGGTGGTACCTGAAGTGTATGACGCCATGGGGCGCGTGCAGCTGCTGCTGCTGCGCTCCCACACGCCCTCCGTGCGCCAGCTCAGCGCAGCGCTGCTTCTCGCCTTCCTGCTTGACTACCCGCTGGGTCCCGCACGCCTGGAAGCACATCTGAGCTTCCTGATAGTGAATTTGAAGTACGAGCACCAGAGCGGGCGAGAGGCCGTGCTGGGCATGCTGCGAGCCATCATCGAGGGATTCCCCTCCGTGCTCGTGGAGGCCCACGCCGATACCTTCTTCCTGCCGCTCGTCACTCGCCTAGTCAGCGATGAGTCAGCAAGGGTGCGGCAGCTGGTAGCAGCGGTGCTCAAAGCGCTGTTTGTGCGAGTCAAGCCGCCCACGTGCGCGCGCCTGCTGCGCTTCGCGTCTGCATGGTTGGTGGATCCGTCCCCCCAGCTGCAGCAGGCAGCAGCGCTGGTGTTAGGGGTGGCGGTGGAGGCGGTGGGGGTGGGCGGCGAGCAGGGGGGCATGGTGGCGGCATGGATGGGTGCTGCTGCGCGGATTGTGCAGCGGGCGCAGGGAGGGGAGGAGGGTGAGGGAGGGGGAGTGGAGGGGTGGAAGGGTGTGTACGCGTGTGTGGTGCTGGCTGAGAAGGTGCTGCAGCGGGAGGGTGGGCAGGCGCACAGCAGCAGCATGCGTGCGCTGTGGCGGCAACTGCCGGCGCTGCTGCTGCATCGCCACCTCTGGGTGCGCGCTGCTGCCTGCCGCCTCCTGGGGGCCTACCTCTCCCATGCCACCACTGCCGCTGCTGCAGCCGCTGGTGGTGGTGGGAGCAAGGGCGTGTGTGGGGCGGAGGAGGAGGGTCTGAAGGCTGTGGTGAGGGAGCTGGTGGAAAAGGGCGAGCAGGATGAGGGGGAGGACGAGGAGCAAGAGGAGGGTGAGGGGAGGGGGGCAGGGGTGGCGGTGTGGCAGGTGCTGCTGCAGCCATCGTACTTGGTGGTGGTGGCAGGGGCGCTGTGCCGTGTGCTGGAGAGCAACGCCAGTGACGAGCGGCTGGCACAGCACACTGTCAAAAACCTTGTCGCCCTCGCTCCCCTCCTGCCCCTCCTGCCTTGCCGTGCCATTAATGGCACTGCTGGTGGTGGGATGAGGAAGGGAAGGGAGGGGGGATCGGGGTTGGTGGTGGAGCTGGATGGGTGTGCCATAGGCAGGGAGGGCAGGGGGCGGCTGAAACTGGGGTGGCAACTGCTGCGGGTGAGGAGGAGAGAGGGAGAGAAGACTGGGGATGGCAGTGGTGGCGAGGAGGAGGACGAGGAGGAGGAGGAAGAGGAGGAGGTGTTGGGAGAAGCAGAGGGAGGGGTGGAAGGGGGGGTTGAGGAGGAGGAGAAAGCAGAGGAAGTAGAGGAAGAAGAGAAGGGCGATGAGGAATCATACCTTGTAGACTTTGGGGAGGGTAGTGGTGTGGGCGATGCTGGTGCTGCTGCTGATGCTGCTGTTGCTAATGCCGATCCTGGTGCTGATGCTGATGCGGATGCTGATATGGAAGCGACAGGTGCAGGGAGTGGGGCCGTCATGTTGGGTGAACCAGTAGGGGAGGGCAGTGAGGGCGATGCAGAGGGCAGTGGGGAGGCAGGGGATGGGGAGGAGGCAGAGGAGAGGCAGCAGAGCGATGGGGAGGAGGGCGGTGCAGGGGAGCAGGAGGATGGGGAGGGGCAACTGGATGGGGGCTATGTGGCGTTAAGGGAGGGGGCAGGGGAGGAGGCGACACGGCACATAGCGCTGGGGGCGGTGATGAAGGCGGTGGCACGTGTGGCGTACAGAGTGAAGCCCATTCAGGTGTGGCCCTTCGTGTGCTGTGCTACTCACACGCTCCACATACCATCTCTCTGTGCTTCAATGATTTCTGCTTCCACCCTCCCCTCACTCCCCCCTCATCCCTCTCCCTTCCCCCTTTCACTCCCTCTCCCCACACATCCCCCCCCTACCCTTGCCCCCATGCATGGCGCCCACCAGACGGCAGCAGCGCTGCGGTGTGTGGCAGCGCTGGCGACAGCACTGGGAGGGGAGGGGGTGCGGCCATACCTGCCGGACGTCATGCTGCCACTCTTCCGCCTCTCACAGGGCTCTGCAGGCGCTGTTGTCCCACGTGAGCCCCTCTCCACACCCCTGCACCCGTCTGTACCTTTTGCAATCCCCTTGGTGCTCGTTTCGTGTCAAGGTGCCGTTTTCTCTCCCCATAGCAATGCGTGTGCTGTGAGAAGCACAGGTTGGCTTGGCAGTCCCGGCACTGGTGTTCGCCCTGCGTGCCATTTGTAGCACTGCTTCGCACACCCAACCTCCCCACGCCTCCTCTTTACTCACTTTCTCATCCGTTCCTCCCGTCTCCCCTGTAAGCCTCCTCCAACTCACCCTCCCCCCCCCCCTCATCTCCCTCCCGTCTCTCTCTGCCCCCTCGCCTCGCCCCGTGCACATCAAGCAGCGGAGGTGCAGGGGGTGGTGGGCGAGGTGGTGGAGCACGTGCGCCACGAGGTGGGCCCCGCCGCCTTCATTGCCGCCTTCTCCGCCGCGCGCGACACCGCCAGGAGGCGCGCGGCAGCCAGGCGGGAGGCGGCGCGCGTGAGCGTGCTGGTGGACCCCGAGAGGCACGCTCGGCGCCGGGCGAGCCTGGCGCGCAAGCGAGGCGAGTACAAGAAGAGGAAGAACCAGCAGCACCGCCGCAGCAAGATGCGGTGATGCCTGGAGGGAGGTGCGATGCTGTGGGCATGGCCACATGCACACATGTACGCCTCTGCAAGGGCAGCTCTTTAGAACACAACGCTGTATGGACTTTTGCTTACAAGTAATGATGCTAGTGATAAAAATACGCCAGCATGATGCCATAAAGCACTCTTTTAAAGAGCCATGTGAACTGACAGCTAACTACTGAATACAAAGCACTCCAGTAGAATGGGTGCAACCACACAGCAGCATCACTGGCCGCTGGCTGCACGCAGCTTCAGGCTCCTGCAGGTACACTTGGAGCTGCTGTGCAGTGAAGGACCCATAAAAAGAATTACAGGAATCATTCTACCAAAAATTAGGAAACTGAAGGAGCATGCGCGAGTTTGGCAGGAGCAGAAAGCTACTCGATGAAGTAAGCGGCGGTGGTGGAGGGGGAGCGCGAGCCATCGGTGTGTTGGCATTGCAGCTGCAGGTCCACGTCCATGAGGCGGTGGTTCTTCTGCGACCGCCGGATGTGCATGGCGCCCGACACCTCGTCTCCCTCGCGCACGTGCAGTGGGTGTGCGAGCAGGAAGACCTGCTGCCCCCAGTGCGTGCCCTCGTCCACACTGGGCGCTGTCGTCAGCTGCACCTCGTGCTCCGTGGGGTCCGTGGCTGACCCCTGTGAGTGGGGGGGTGAAGGTGGAGGAGGGAGCGCGGGGCGGGGACAGTGAGGGCAGCACAGGGGGATGATGAGAGGGCGATTGTGGGAATGTTGGTGGCAAGCAGCCACTGGAGCATCCCATGCAATGCTTTAGGAGACTAGAACGACAGGATAGCCTGGATAGGACTCTGCAATGCAAGCAGGGTTACCTTGAACAGCACGTCAAACCACCCTCCAATGGCGTTGACGGGTTTATCAGCAGCGAAGGTGCGCGTGGTGAAGGTTGCCTTGACCTCCTCCACGTCGGCCACGGTGGCGGTGGCGCAGTCTATCTCGCGGATCATCACCGGCCGCCCCAACACCTGCGATGGGTACAGCGACTCCCAACACCCTGTCTGGCAGCGGGCAGGGGGCACGGGATGAGGGAGCGCGTGAGTGGAGCAGGGAATGGCAGGCAACAGATGGGATAAGGCGTGGGTCGAGGGAGCTGCTGAGAAGGAGCCGGAGGGGTGTCCGAGTGGGAGTGTGAGCGAGGGAGTGGGCAAAGAGAGTGGGAGAGAGGGAGTATCGAAAACGGAACGGGCGAGAGGGACTGGGGAAAAAGGAATGGGAGAGGGGAGTGGGGGAAAGGGAACAGGGCGAGGGAGGAGGGGGGGATACTTGGAGGAAGTATTTCTGCTGCTCGGCCTCGTAGGTCTGGTCCAGCACGGCCATGTCAACGCCATAGTCCTCCCTGGTGCCGCGCACGAAGCTGCGCCAGTCGCCCATGCTGCTGCGGAACTCGCCCATGCGCCCCTCCCACAGGCTCGAGTGCACCGGCGCCACCCACATGCGCGCATGGCTCGGGAACCTGCACCGCACAGCGGGGGGGGGGGGGGGGGTGGTGGGGAAGGGATGAGCAGGAATGGTGGTAAGAGGCGGCAGAGAAATTATAGAGCATGCAGAGAGCTGGATAAGAAGCGTTGAGTCGTCTCAGTGCAGCATTTTCCACAAAAACGCTCTTTACCCAAGCCCCACCACCCCATCTCCCCCACCCCATCCGGCCTCCAGCCCCTCAGTCCACCCGGTCCCCATCCCTCCACCCTTCCCCCCTTGGCCCCAGCACCCGCACGCACAGGGAGCCGCCCGGTTTGAGCCAGCGGTCGCGAGCGACGAGGACGGAGTCGAGCATGGACTCGCGCACGAGGAAGTACCCCATCCACTCGCTTATTATCACGTCCACTGCGACCAACATGGAGAGGGGCGGGGGGCCAGGGGGCGGGTAAGGGCGGGAAAGAGGGCGAGGGGTAGTGGGGGAAAGTATGAGGGGAAGTGAACGGACGGCCAGGGAATTGGAAGCAAGGTAATGTGAGTGAAGGAGTGAATGGGGGGGTTGCGGGAGCGCGTGTGCAACAAAGGAGCAGAACGGGCAGTTCTTCGTCTCCCCGCACAACAGTCCTGCCCGCCCCACCTTTCTCGGGCAGCTGAACGTCCTCCATGCTCTCCTGCAGCACCGTCACGCGGTCCGCCACGCCATTGGCGCGCGCCAGCGTGGTGGCGTGCTGCGCCATGTCCGTCGCCTCCACCGCGTACACGCGCCGCGCGCCCGCCTGCGCCGCCCAGATGGCGAGAATGCCGCTGCCCGTGCCCACGTCCAGCACCACCTGCGCAGGGGCGGAGGGCGGGGTTTGGGGATGGGGAGAGGTGGTGTCGGATGGGGCGAGAGACGGGGAGCGCAGAGGCGACAGGGTTGAGGGTTCCGGGGATAGCGGTTGTTGCGTTGCGCGGGGAGCGTGGGCAGGCGAGATGGCATGGCGCGCACGGGGAGGTGGTGGGGCGGCAAGGCACGTAGGGTTGACGGGTGTGGGAGCAAGGAAGGAAGTGGGGTTGCGGGGTTGAGGGGATGGGGAGGAGGGGAGGAGTTGGTGATTGACGAAAACCTAGATCGGACGGGCCACAGGCAATGCGGGTACGGGGTAATCGGGTGCAGGGAACCGGGGCCGCGCATAGCGACGGGTGGGTGATACCTCGATATTGACGGGTGCTGGACCTTTCTCATTGGAGAAGTTCAATTGGATCGCGATTCACTAATGAGAGACGGCCGAATTTCTTGCCCTCACAGAACCGCGACTCGATCTCACCGAGGCGCAGAACTCGACCGCACCTTATCGACGAAGTGCGCCTTATTCTTCATGACCGCGTCGCGATACGCGTTCATCCGCACGCGGTCCGACAGCATGTCCTTCTGGTGGTACAGATACGCGTACGTGCAAAAGTAATTCGCGAAATCCGCCGCCTTGTCCACCTGCGGCCGCCCGCCGCCGCCGCCGCCTCTGCCGCTCATCGTGGCGAGCGCTGGGAATACGCGGATGGCAGGAGCGACGGGGATGAGCGTTGACGCGAGCGGACGGGCGGACGAGAGGGACGGAAAAAAGGAAGTCCTTGGAACGGGGCGAGGAGATAGAGGCCAGAGAGAGGCTGGCCAAGCCCTGAGATGGTGGTGAATGGCACGAGACGAGGCGATCCAGCAACGTGGAGTGGGAGCTGGGCAAGTGGATCGCTGACTGACTGATGATGAATGTCACGCTCGCTATCGATCACGTTCATTCACGGCTGATTTCCCTCCCTCCCCTCTGTGTACAGAAAGCCTGGGATGCAGTACTGTACTCGACCAGGCCTGTCGCTTACTCTAAACCCAACCCTTAAGAAGTTGAGCTGGCCCAAAACCAGCCCGGAAGGATCCGGGTAGGGGCTGATTTTGGCCCGTAAGAATCAGGGCTGGCCAGTAAGAATCAGGGCTGACTTCAGACCTAGTGTATTTGCAGCCAGCAACATACATGCTTACAAGAACTATGAAGTTTCAACTAAATGTGTTTGAGGCGGATTCGCGGATAAGGGGTCAAGAAACTCCAAGGGGAAGCTAGTTCGGGAAAGGAGGGGGGGGGGGGGGGGGTGGAGAAGGGGGGGGACATACACGGAAATCCGGGCAAGGCCCAAAACCAGTCCGTTTTCCTTACGGGCTTCCTCGCAAACTAACCTTAAAATCTCTGAGGTGCGTCGAACCCAGTCCTGAATTCTCAGGACAAACGGGCAAATGCCCGTGAATCGACAGGCCTGTACTCGACTCGCTATTGTTCAACGTTATGTGTTCTGATATTTATTGCATCTTTATGTTTTGGCCAGATTGGCATAGGAATTGTCGTTTCTTTGTAGCTGCGAGATATTTCTGAATCACTTTTGTCCAAGTTCCACTTTCGGTGGCGATGACATGGAGCGCAACGAGCTCGCGTCAAACCATATCAGTGGGGAGATATCGAGAGGCTCAGGGCTGTCGTCAGACGAATTGCCGACGTGGAGGGTACTCAGTGGCCGTGCATTTTTTAAGATGACCAGTCGCTGCACTTTTTCGACGCCGCGTTTCCCTGCCCAGTCGAGCAAGCAGCGCAAGCAGTCACGCTGACCAATTTCCACGAACGAACTCACGTGTACAGTGGTCCCTCCCCGCCTTCCCCCATTCAGGAATCGGGCAGCATGTGGCCGTGAGCGACGCTCGCCCAAGTTACGCCCTCCCTGGGAGGAGGAGCCACGGCACACCGGGAACGGGATGGTGATGGGAGGGCAGGCGAGCGGTCGGGCAGCATGCCGAGTCAAGGGTGGGTCGCTGTGAGGCGGCGACCAAGCGGAGAGGCGGTTGATAGCGACAGCCTGACGGCGTCCCTCGCAAGCAATCTCCATTCGCATCGACCCTCAACCTCCTCCCTCGGGTTTCTCGTCTCCCTGTCTAAAGCCTTGCCACTTTCCCTCTTCAGCTAGATACCCGCGCTGATCCCTCGGACGATCCGTAGTGCGCACACGGCCCTGTCACATGACCGCGTCACTAGCAGCATCAGTGCGAGCCGTCCCACCATGGCCACCCATCTCGTGCTTCACCGCACGCTAAGCTCCATGCACCTCTCCTCCACCGATCAGCGTCGCGACGCGTGCCGGCATGACGAGCCGTGCGCTGTGATCGCCGCGAGTCCCGCAGCCGCACCGAGTTGCACGGCGACGATAGTTGAGCGCGGCGTGGTGTGCGAAGTGCCGCTGGACGCGCAGCGCGTCGCCGCGAGCTCGCCGTGGTCGTACGGCGCGATGGACGGCGACGACTGCTGGCGGCCTCCGCCCGGCGCGCGGCTGTCCGACGCGACGAGCGCCGACTTCCTCAAGCGCTGCGCCTTCTGCCGGCGGAGCCTGGAGCGCGCGGACGCCTTCATGTACCGGTGAGCCGCGCGGGCGCCCCTCCACAGGAACCCCGCTCGATCTCCTCCCCTACTAACCTTGCTGAATTCCTTTCTCGCATGGATTTACATGAGTCCTCATGGAATAACATGGCAGCGTGCTGACCTTTATGATGGGCGTGCGTGTGCAGGGGCGACAAGGCGTTCTGCTGCCTGGAGTGTCGGCAGCACCACATGATCGTGCACACCCGCAAGACATGGCTGCACCTCACCGGGCGGCGGTTTTCCATGGTGCCGCTAACTGGTTAGTCCACTCACCCATCACACGGTGGTGTGGAGGGTGTGGCATGGATGATTTTCATCAAGAACTTGATAGAGCCTCGCAGCACCTCTCGTGACAGGCATAAGCACACACTTACTGGTACCAGTAGTGGACGTTCCACCCATTCTTTACATTTTATAACCCTGGTTAGCTTTCAGCTAGGGCTTCCTGGTTCCTACCGTAGCTTCTTCAGTGTTGCTTAGTTAGCAGATATTTCCTGTATATGTGGTTAGAAAATTGCTACAAAGAACTCTAATCCATACACAGCCTCAACGGCACAATCATGCAGGAAAGCCTGTTGCATGTGGGGTCAAAGAATGGTGGTCCCAGAATACGGTACGGTATGTATGTACGACCACATAAACAGCCTACTCATCCTTGCACTCCGCCAGGAACTGCAGCAGCGCCTCGCGGGTGAGCTTGGCCACCGTGGTGCCGCGCTGCGCTGCCACCTCCTGCAGCCGCCCCGCCAGCTCATCATCCACTGTGATGCGCCGTGCCATGCCCCTCTGCCTTGCCAGTGGCGCTGTGTACGTCCCCATGTACTCCTTCATCGCCTCAAAGCCCTGCCAACATTACCAGCAACAGCAGCACACAGGAAACGTGAGACGAGACGAGAGCTTTGAGGGCACTTGCAAGTGTCCACTGGACGCAGCGCATCACACTAACGACATGGCCCTGTGTAATGCCCACGAGCACAGAAGCACTCACCCTCAGGAGCAGCACTCACCATCAGCACAGCACTCACCCTCACTGCAGCACACACCCAACCCCACCGCAGCACACAACCACCCCCAGGGCAGCACTCACAACGCGGTTGGTGAAGTCCCCGAAAGATTCGCCCTTGTGGCCGAGGGCCTTCCACATGGCAAAGAGAGGCTCCAGCACCGCCTCCAGCTCGCCCACCTTCACCCTCTCCAGAAACACCCGCGCCAGCACTGTCTGGTTCGGCGTGCCGCCCAACCACAGCTGCCGAAGGAACGTGTGGGAGGAGTAGGAGAACGTTCAGTTTTTGGTGGGAGGGCAGGTCAATGTGGTGTGGCTAAGGCATGGTGGATGCAGCATGGAGCATGACGAGGCAGTGGGCACTCATGCAGCTGTAAACACTCGGCACTCAGCGATCAGCACTTGTGAGTGATTTGAACAGTACCCACCTGGTAGGAGTTGGCGCCATCGCCCACGAAGCCCAGCTCCGCCACATAGGGCCGCGCACAGCCGTTGGGGCAGCCCGTCATGCGCACCACCAAGGAGTGCGCCTGCTGCTGCCTCAGCCCCACCTGCTCCCATGCCATGCCATGCCATCATTCCATGCCAAGCCATGCCATGTCATGCCATGGGAGGCAACAATACATAGCAGCGAAATGCAAGAAAGTTAGAGCCACGCACACATGGTTCCGCATGTAATCGCACACATGGTTCCGCATGCACTAGCACACATGGTTCTGCATGCACTAGCACACATGGTTCCGCATGTACTAGCACACATGGTTCCGCATGTATGCACACATGGTTCCGCATGTACTAGCACACATGGTTCCGCATGTACTAGCACACATGGTTCCGCATGTACTAGCACACATGGTTCCGCATGTACTAGCACACATGGTTCCGCATGTACTAGCACACATGGTTCCGCATGTACTCGCACACATGGTTCCGCATGTACTAGCACACATGGTTCCGCATGTACTAGCACACATGGTTCCGCATGTACTCGCACACATGGTTCCGCATGTACTCGCACACATGGTTCCGCATGTACTAGCACACATGGTTCCGCATGTACTCGCACACATGGTTCCGCATGTACTAGCACACATGGTTCCGCATGTACTAGCACACATGGTTCCGCATGTACTAGCACACATGGTTCCGCATGTATGCACACATGGTTCCGCATGTACTAGCACACATGGTTCCGCATGTACTAGCACACATGGTTCCGCATGTACTAGCACACATGGTTCCGCATGTACTAGCACACATGGTTCCGCATGTACTAGCACACATGGTTCCGCATGTACTCGCACACATGGTTCCGCATGTACTAGCACACATGGTTCCGCATGTACTAGCACACATGGTTCCGCATGTACTAGCACACATGGTTCCGCATGTACTAGCACACATGGTTCCGCATGTACTAGCACACATGGTTCCGCATGTACTCGCACACATGGTTCCGCATGTACTCGCACACAACAACCACATATTTCATTGGCCTGCACTGCATCTTTCACTCGCTCATCCCCACATGCCCCACCATCCCCCCCACACCTCAACACCCTGTTTTCCCCTCTAACATAGCTGCAGCCCTACCTCACAGCAGCACCCCCCCCCCCTCCTCACCTTGTCGAGCATGGCGCGGATGCGCTTGAGCACGGCGGGCAGCCCCCTCTCCGCCTCCGTGATGGCCAGCCCGCACAGCGGCAGCGCGGGGCACGCCATGGCCGTCAGGTTCAGCGGATCCACGTACTGCTTGCCCTGCACACTCACACGTACGTGGGGTGCGGGCGGTGGGGGTGCAGAGCAGGGGGGTAACGAGGGCACAGGGGTTGTAGCACCGAGACAGGAATTCACAGGAGCAGGTGTGTGCGTAGAGTGTGCGTAGAGTGTGTGTGTGTGTGTGTGTGTGTGTGTGTGTGTGTGTGGCCAGGACCCCCCTCACTCCTCACCAAAATGCCCCTTTTTCCCCATGCCCCCACCACCCTCTCACCAAGATGCCCTTTCCCCCCTTTCATGCACCCCCCTTTCATGCTCACTGGGATGCCCTTTCTCCCTCCATGCGGCCCAACCCTCCCTGCGCTGCGCTCCCCTCCCCCAGTGACCCAGTCACAAGGATGCCCCCCCTCTCTCCACCCCTCCCTCCTCCTCCACCTCCTGAGGATGGCCCTCCTCCCCTTTCCCCCCTCCCCTCCCACCCCCCCCAGTGGACTCACGAGGATGCCGACAGCGGCGAGCTCCTGGGTGATGCGGGGGCGCCACGCCTTGCGCACGTCGCACAGCATCAGGTTCTGATTTGCCGAGATGCGCACGGGCAGGTTGTACTTTTCGATCACTGCCCGCAGCGCCTTCTTAGCCTCGCCCTTGATGCGCCCATTCTCGATGTGCAGCCCGTAGTACAGCCGCCCGTCGCCCTGCCATGCGGTGCAGTGCGGTGGGTGGGTGGATTGGGGTGTGGTGAGGCGTGTAACAGAGTGGGGAGTGGGAAGAAGTGGGGAAGGTGTCCCAGCATCATGTCAAGTTGTTCGCAAATACAGCGCAAGGAGGACAGATAAGCGGTGGGGCTGGGGAAGGGGAGGATGGGGGCGCGGGGAGGAAGGAGGTAGCAGAGCTGACCCCACAGCACAGCACAGCACGAGCTCTGCTCACCAGTGCAGCGCGGCTCACCTGCTCGCCCCAGCCGACGTAGGGCTTGGACTGCCATTCGGGCAGGGGGCGGAACGGCTGGAACTGCTTGCCAAAGTATTGCTCCGTCACCGTGCGGAAGCGGTCAATGCCCCAGTCGCGGATGAGATACTTGAGCCGCGCCTGTGCGCGCAGGGGGGAGGGGAAGGGGAGAGTACGGAGTATGGGAAGGGATGCGGGCCGGAGCACATGGCAGAGAGTTGATGGATGGAAAAGTGACGGAATGCGAGCGGGGAACGCAACCACTGCAAGGATGATGAGTTAACCCCCCCCGTTCCCTTCCTCCCATCTCCCCCACCATCCATGCTCGCAGGATCGCACACCCCTGCCCCCTAATTCCTCATCTTCCCCCCTCGCCCCCCACACCTGTTTGCGGTCGTCGCGGCGGCCGTAGTCGCGCTGCGTGGCGACGATGGCCTTGACGGCGTACAGCACGTCCTCCGCCGCCACGTACCCCAACGGCTCCGCCAGCCGCGGCTCCGTTTGCTCGTTGCGGTGCGACCGCCCCATGCCGCCGCCCACCTGCCATGTGGCGCGGGAGGGGGGGGTAGGGGAGGCAGAGAGAAGGCGGGGAAGGGGGACAGAGAAGGGAGCAGGGTCCCGATGAAGGAAGTAGTGTTGAAGCCTGCACATGGCATTTCTGCTAGACTCACTTGCGGACCCCATTCCATGAGTGAGCTCCAATGCCGGCAGCGCCCCTGCCAGCACAGCTGATCAACTCTCCCACACGACCGCCTGGTCCCACCAACTCCATGCACCCTCCTCCCCCCGAAACCCAACACCAAAATCCCAAACTCCAAACCCAAAACCCTGAGGCGCGCGCAGCACAGCACTCACGTAGATGTTGAAGCCCTGCAGCTGCCCCGTGGCGTCGTCGCAGAGCACGACGAGCCCGAGGTCGTTGGTGAGAATGTCCACGGAGTTGTCGCCGGGCACGGTGATGGCGATCTTGAACTTGCGCGGCAGGTACTGCGTGCCGTAGATCGGCTCCGCGCTGCCCTCTATGTTCGTCCCGAACCGGTTGTCCGCACGCGCCTCCGCCACGTCCGCCGGCGCCTCCGCCGTCAGCACCTGGCGCGGAAAGGGTGGGCGTGAGCCATGGCGGGGGGGGAGATTGTTGGATGAAGCCAGCCACACGGCGGAGGGGAGAGGGTGACGCACAGGGAACTGTGAGGTACAGGAGGCAACAGGAAGACAAGTCGAGGCTAAGGAAAGTAATAACCTCCTGCGTCATCATCGGTTCCGTTTCACCAATACGTCACCGCCCCAATGCAACCGCGCAGGACCCACGCGCATGCGCCCCTTCCCCCCATTCCACCATTTGCACCATTCGACTATGCGCCCATTCCCCCCATTTCCCCCATGCGCCTTTTTTTCCCTATCCCCCCATGCGCACCCTCCCCCCATCACCCGTGCGCGCACCTTCTCGCCGTCGAGCCACACGTCGTAGTAGGCGCCGGACTGCGGTTCGAGCAGCGCGGCGATCTTATCGGCGTACTCCTGGCAGTAGCGGTATGCGGGGCGGTCGACGAACGGCACCTCGGGCGCCAGCACGTTGCGGTTCAGGTCGCCGCACGCGCCCAGCGTCGACCCCATGCTCTTGATCACCGTCGCAAACACCTCCTTCAGATTCGCCTTCAGCACTCCGTGCAGCTGCGCGCGCCCAGCGGGAGAGGGGATGGGGTGACGGGAGGGAGAGGGGGGTTGGGAGGTGCTGAGCGGAGATGGGGGCCGCATACCTGCTGCGCAATCGGCGCGCACAGACTCGCAGCGTGCGAGCTCGAATGCCTCTTTGGCAGCGCGGGGAGTAGCGGGAGGCGGGGAGTAGCGGCGGGGCGCACCTGGAAGGTCTGGCGCGTGGTGAGGCGGAGCGTGCCGGAGCCGAACTGGTCGGCGAGGTCGTCCATGGCGAGGTAGAGGCGGTTGTGCACCTTGCCGCCCGGCTGCCGCGTCCGCATCATAAACTGGTACGCGCGCCCGCCACCCCCCTGCCGCGCCTCGCGGTCGTCCTGCATGTAGCTGCCGTGGAACTTGATCAGCTGCGCGCACCGCCGCGGACGAGGGGGGGGATCGGAAGAGAAGCGCAGATAGACGCAAGAGGGAACACACGAATTAGTCGCAATGAGATGGCAACGGTCGTAGCACGTCCGTGACGAGCCGTCAGTTGAGAAGACCAACAACAACCAGCATTCGCAGTCTGGCATTCGTGCTGCCGTCAGTGCCGTCATTGGTACCGTCGGCAGTGCGGTGGTGAGATCTGTCTGCCGGGAGTGCTCTCTGAAGCACGGCAGTACCGGAGTCAAGCCAGGCACGGTGCGGAGGAGCGGAAGACGCACCTGCTCGGAGGCGGCGCTGACGTTGGGGAGGTCGTTCTTGAGGTCGTCGATGAGCGGGTAGCGCAGGTAGTCGCTCTCCTCCTTGTATATCTCCACCTTGCTCCTCTTCGCCGCTCCCGCTGCCGGCGCCTGCACGGGCTGTGCACGGCAGTCATGCACACGAGACATGCAGACACGCAGACGTGGCATGCATACATGTGGACGTAGCATGCAGGCACGCATTCACGCAAGGCGCTAAGAAGCATGAATGCGTGTGATGGACACGAGGAACACGGGCAACGACGGAGTATCGAGTTCGTGTCGAGCGAATGACGGCTGCCATCAAACGATAAGCTTCTCATCGCGTAACAACCCTCCTTATCAAAAGGACGGACCTTGCCGAGAGAACGGAATCGTGAAAATATATATAGATCTCAGCTAAGAGAGTGTAAAATCAGACTGTAAATGCATACAGCACGAGACCCCTACAGTGGCGGTGGCTTGAACACGGCCCGGCGATGACGACGCGCCTGCCGATGGAGCCGCGGACGCGACGACGGTGGATCGGTCATTGCGGGTGCCGCGCAGCCCGTCGAACGTCGCGAACTTGGCGGAGGCGGACGTTGGTGCCGCTGTCGCCATGGCGGGCGTGCGGCGTGGTAACCAGGCGCGGGGTATAAGACCAGGGAACGCGTAACACCCCGTATCACTTTCAAAGAGTGGAGTGAAATGGGAAGACACAGACGTGAAGATGTGGAAACCCGAGGGTGGATGAGAAGAACCAAGGTTGTGGCTTGTTGAAAATGGCTGTGGCGCAGGGTGGAGGGGAGAAGGGGATGATTGATGGGCCAAGGGGAAGGAAGGGGTAATGTGGAGGGAGGGGAGGACGGTGAGGGGTGGCCCTTGAAAGTGCCCAAGAGATAATATCGAGACGAGAGCCAATAACGGCGGAACGAACGGCGGAGATCTGAACATGAACCAATCAAATCGACTTACGACAGAGATACTTCAGGAAGGCGGGAGCTGGTTCTCGGAAATAGAGGAATTTCTGACGTAATGGTAACCCGGTTTACTTCCCTGAGAGAGATATTTGTTATGAATCAACTTGCAGAGTGCGCAGTGAGACGAATAACGAGAATGGAAATTACTGAATTACTGAACGAAGAAACAATGAAGTAGGGAGGCCTAAATAGGGGAAAAGCTAGCTAGGCGGGGGGTTCGGGATGGGATGGCTCGGTGATGGTTGCGATTGGAGTGGAGGCCGACTCGTGGGTGGTTCGGTGCGACGAAATAGGCAAGACAGGTTCGTCGCGTGACCCTCGGGATGGCCTCGCTAACGAGTGCCTCAGTAAGGATTTGTAAATCCTTACAATATTCGTGGAACATACACATGTACGCGACTTCATCGCCCGATATTGAGATGTTGTAGGAAACAGTCTTGATAGGAACCAGATATATTCGTACAGAAGTGTGAATTATCGAAGGAATTGGGATGGATGTGAGCAACAAAGCGACCGAATTTCTGGATTCTATACAAAGGTGGAGCCTAGCCATTTCTGGACCGTTCGTGCTTCGCGATTCTTTTCAACACTTCCGCAAACAAGCTGCATTCCACGCATGGCTCCCACGTCCCCTCTCGATCGCTTCATCGTCGCACGCCTTCATGCGAACGCGACGACTCGACATGCGACGGTGCTGTTGGTCGGCTGTGATGAGCCTGCCGTCGCAGCCGTCGCCAATGGCATCGCCGCCAGCGCCATCTTCCGCGACGCGTCCCTCTCTCAGGTCACCCAGCGCATTCCGCGTCTGCCCTTTCGTTTTTGTACCTTCAGTTTTCCTTCCCTCTTATCTTCTTTCCCGTGCATTCACTCGCTATTTTCGCCCCTCTTCCCCTCCCCAGCCCGGCAAACCTCTCCGCGTAACCAAGCGGGTTGTCAATCGCCACACCCTTCGCGCCACCATCGCCGCCGCCTGCTTCCGCCCGCCCGCGCACGAAGCCGACGCCCTCGCCGCGGCCATGCGCCTCCGCCAGCACCTGCTGAGCGCCCGCCCTGCTGACGTCATCGTGTTCGTTGGAGGGGACGCCGGGAGGAGCGAGGCGGAGGGGCTGGTGATGCGCGCGGTGAGCAGGGCGCTGGGGGCGGGCGTGTGGGCGCACGCGGTCGTGGTGAACGCGGGGAGCGGGGGAAGGGAAGAGGGCGAATCTGGAGAGGGGGCAGAGGCGAGGCGGGCAGCGTTGGAGGAGGCAATGGGAGCGGAAGCGCGGCGGGGCGTGCCGTGTGTGGCGTGGCGGGCGGAGTGCGGGGTGGGCGCGGAGGCGCTGGGGGACGCCATGGCAGGCGTGGTGCGCGCCACAGCTGCTGCCTTCTTTCCCCCACCCCTCCCCGCGCACGCCAACGCGGACGCCCCGTCCGCCCTCGACTTTGATGACCTGGCAATGCTGTCAGACCACAACATTGCCACGTCAGCTGCAAATGGCTCTCGCCCGCTCGCCTCACCGTCGGCCACCCCCGCCGCTCCCGAGCCCACTGCGCCCGCTCCTCACAACCCCTCCCCCGTTGTTGCTCCCACCCCTCCCTCCGTGCCTCTGCTGCCTGTCGCTCCTCCCTCGGCCCCTCCCCCGCCTTCCCTCCCTGTTCCTGCCTTCGCCTCTCTTTCTCTCGCCCTCTCCGCCTCTGCCCTCTCCTCTGCAGGCCCCCCAATGCTGTTTCCCGCCAGCCGGCCCACGTCCCTCTCCCCCTCTGCCCCGCTCGTCCGCCCTGCGGCCTCCCCTCTCGCCCGCCTGACTGCCGTGTCAGCTGCGCGCCCCGCACTGTCCTTCCAGACCAAGTGCCTCGCGCCCATGCCTGTCATGTCGGCTTGCCACGTGGCAGCTGTCAACGGGCTGGCTGCTGACGTGTCACCCACACATGCAGCTGTGGGCCCCGCGAAGCAAGCAACGGCGTTCCCTGATCTCATGCACCTGGCACGGCAGGCGGGCAACACCTGGTAAGCACCTGGCACGGCAGGCGGGCAACACCTGGTAAGCACCTAGCATGGGAGAGCTGACAGCAGCACTGTCAGACGTCGTGTCATTCATCTCCCTTGCCCCCTCTCCACGTGCCTTCCTTCATTCCCATCTCTCCATCTCTCGCGCCATTCAGTCAGTGTCGCTCCCTCTGCTCATGCCGTGCCTCTCACCCCTCCCTGCACGCCCACAGCGACCCCAAGGGAGCGGCGGGGGCACACAGGACGGTGGTGCAGTGGTTCCGCAACGACCTGCGCCTGCACGACAACGAGGCGCTCGCTGCCGCCCACAACGACGCCGCTGCTGTGCTGCCCGTCTACTGCTTCGACCCCCGCGACTACGGTTCGCCCTTCCCCTTCCCCCCCCCCTCCTCCCCTCTCCCTCTCCTTCCCCTCCCACCTGCCGCTTCCTTGCCTAGCCCCTCCCCCTTGACTGACGCCTTTGCTGTAACACCTCGCTACCCACTGGGTCAAAACGAGGGTTATGTTTGAGGCGCAGCGGATGCACTCAACCCTTACGTGTAAGCCCCACAGGCGTTACATTTGCATAGCTCTAACGTCCATCGCTCTTTCCTCCTACTCCCACCATGCATCCCCCACCACCTCTGCCCCACCCCCGTCTGCCCGCCACCCCTGGGCTCGCATGGCTGCGCGCAGGCAAGTCGGCGTCGGGGTTTGACCGCACGGGGCCGCACCGGGCGCGCTTCCTGCTGCAGTGCGTGGCGGCGCTGCGAGTGGCACTGCGGGAGCGCGGCAGCGACCTGGTGCTGCGCGTGGGGCGGCCTGAGGACGTGCTGCCACGCCTGGCGCGCGCGGTGGGGGCGCAGGCCGTGGTGCTGCAGCAGGAGGTGACGGCCGAGGAGAGCCGCGTGGAGGCTGCTGTGGCCGCCCGGCTCAAGGTGGGACCACGGGACAGTGGGATGTGGAAATAAGTGGAATGCGGGGAAAGTGGGATGCGGGGAAAGTGGGATGCGGGGGAAAGTGGGATGCGGGGGAAAGTGGGATTCAGATTGAGTGGTAGCACGTACAGTAGGGGAAGAGAAAAGCCAATATGCATGTGTGAAATTTTTCTTAGCAAGTCCATGACCGTACACTCAACCTGTCGTACATCCTTTATGTGGATATGTGCGTTTGCATGTGCGTGTGCATGTGCACTTGCATGTGCATTTGCATGTGCGTGTGCATTTGCATGTGCGTGTGCATTTGCATGTGCGTGTGCGGACGTGTGCGTGCATGAGTGCGTGTGTGTTGTTTCGTGTGTGTGGTGGCGGGCATGGCAGGAGGAGGGAGTGGAGACACAGACATATTGGGGAAGCACGCTGTTCCATGTGGACGATCTGCCCTTCGCGCTGCCCCACATGCCCTCCAACTACAGCGCCTTTCGTCAAGCCGTCTCCCGCATCCAGGTCTGCACCACGCCCCAACCCTTGCTCCCTCTTTCGCACTCTTTCTTTCTTTCTTTCCCCCTGGTTCTCTTGTGACATGGTAACTCAAACCTGGATTGCGGTCCCCGTGTTGAACCCTGTGATTGTGGTGGCCGTGCCTGTGGGAGCGGTGCAGGTGCGGGACATGGTGGAAGCACCGGAGCACCTCAAGCCCATGCCTGTCATGGGCAACGTGCAGCCGGGGGAGATTCCCTCTCTTGAGGCCCTTGGTCTCTCCGCCATTCACCCTCCCACTCAGGTATTACCTGAGGCTGCCACTCCATTTTGGTTCCAGCATGCCCACTTTGCTCTTCCTCGCCTCTTCCTTTCCTTCCTTTTTCTTTATTTACGAACCATCCGCACTCACAGAGAGCCTTGGTGTGTGTATGTTTGTGCCAGAACGCTCACATGACCTCGATGCAGGGAGGGGAGGCGGAAGCTTTGCGCAAGCTCTCGGGCTTTGTTGCGGAGTCCAAGTCTGCTGCGGCTGGTTCCAAGGCCACGGCCCCCAGCAGCGGCCAGTACGGGGCGAGCTTCTCATGCAAGATCTCTCCATGGCTCGCCATGGGCTGCCTGTCCCCTCGCCGCGTCTTCCACCAAGTGCTGCAGCTTGAGGGCTCTCTCGCGCACCAGCTGGCAAGCAAGCCAGCAGCCAAGGCCAGGTGTGTGCATGGACAGATTGAGGGGAAAGGGGAATGTATGTGGCAGGCATAGCTCTGGATGAGAGGGATGGGTGTAGTTTCTTGAGCTCAACTGCTTCACGTGGTTTCAAGTGCTGTCATCCCTGTGCACCTCCTTCAGGTTGACTGGACCCAAGGCAATCACTGCCACAGCTGCCAAGGAACCGAGCATGGACTGGCTGGTCTTCGAGCTTCTCTGGCGTGACTTTTTCAGGTATTGCTGTCTGACTCTTAAGAAGGCCATGTATTTCTTACGCTAGAATACAGCAGCGCATCGCTGCCAGCGCTTGTGTCTGTTGGATGGATGGTCACATGGGTTGCACAAGTGTCCTGTGCCCCCCCCCCCCCCCCCCCCCTACCCTACTTGTTCCCTCGCCTACCAGGTTCATCACGAAACGCCACACTCTGGGGACACCTTCACTCTCACCAGTGCTCGCATGATACGGTACTTAGTCAGCAATTTACTTGCAAGTTGTTGATGGATTTCTCACGATTTTTTTCTGGCATGAAAGCCTGCTGCCAAAAAGGCACATGCGATTTCCTTACCGTAGTTATGATAACTGCTGCTGCAGTCGGGTGCTGATATGAGAAGAGAACATGCTGTAAAGCAGAATGGATCTCATTTCGTAACTCAAGCTGCTAGCAACACTGGCTACAAGCTGAAGTCCAATGCTAGTCTAACGACCATGGACTGCATGGCACGTCTCTGACCAATACAGGCAGGATGACAAGTGTTGGCAACAGTGAAACCTCTCTACTTGCCTACAGAAAGTAAGAAGTAATGAATTTGAGCCCGCGCCCCTCATACAAAGAGGACATCCGTATAAGCCCCCCTCCCCTCCCCTCCCCTTAGCATCCTTCGAGAAAAATCTACTTGATGTACTGCGAAAGCCACTTAATGCCCTCACCATATCCCATCTTACGCACCACACTGCACATGAAGACTTCAATCGGTCTGATGTTGGACTCTGCCAAATTTACCTTGCCCTTCCCTGTCGTGTAGTTGGTCAGGCCCAGGGAATAACGAAGCTCATCTTCGGATGCGGCAGTTGGAATGTCGATTTTGTTTCCCAAGATCAGAAACGGCACGAGAGCCAGGGAGTCGTCTGAAAGTAGTCCATCGAGTTCCTTCTTCGACTCGATGAATCTCTCCTTATCGGCAGCGTCGACGAGGTACACTATGGCATCCACCTGCAGAGATAACAGATGCTAATCGCTCAAGACTACCAGGAGGACTATATATGGACACGAGTAACAATAAATAACAGCAACACTGACCTTCGCGTAATAGTCCTTCCAAACGCGTCGGGCTATCTGATGACCACCGAGATCAAACGCCTTGAACTTGATCTTTCCGATACTCAGCTCTTCCGATGTTGGATGCTGTGTTGGCTGATGCTGAGCTAGTCTCTGCACCGATCAACCAGCATGGAGAGATCACCTTCTTAAGCATCATGTAGTAAAAAAATGGATCAAACGTCATTGAGAAAATTCTCCCGTGATCACCAATAGATTTAAGCAGCTCCACTAACTCACCTCATCTTTCAACATATGCAGCAAGGTGGTTTTCCCGGCATTATCTAACCCCAAAAACAATATCTTCGCCTCTTTCTGCCATAGACCGAGCGTAGCTAAAACGCTATAGAACCAGTCGACTAAGAACATGTTGACCTGATACAATCTCGAACGAACAAGATCCCAAGAACCTTCAAAAATTTCCTAACTACGGTAAGCTGGAATGGTGTGGGAATGCACTGTCTTGGCTGTTTCGTGTGTACGTAGGTCTGTGCGACGTGTGCGACCGTTGCCCTGATGTATGGGGTTTCGCGCCACACATCGCAGGAACAGATCCCCGCAATGACCGAACAGCTCACACAGCAAAAGCAGCATACTGCATAAGGGAACCAACAAGTACAAGCCCATTTGTTTCTCAGAATTGCAATACAGTGATGCATACTACGGTAAGCTGGAATGGGTTTATTATTATCATGCATACTAATATAATCACGTGGGTTTATTATTTTCCATAAATTCATTGAAATTCGTGCGTACTGGACTAATTCGGGTAACTCTGACGGAAGATGCTGGGGCTGGCCCAGCTTCTAATAACACTAAGAACATACCGCTTACAAGGGATGGATGTGCGCGTAGGCTAACGCTACAGTGATACCTAAGCAGCAACATCATGGTTAGGTGCCAATCTCAAGGATCTTGACAACAAAGGAGTCGCCGAGCTTTTGCACGACGACGACGCGGTCATGAGCGCGCATGAGGCCCATCTCCCTGCCCTTCTCCATCGCCATCTTCAGCACCGTCTCGTTCGTCGTGATGTTGCTCGCCGACTGCCACACGCATGCACAGCATCACACAGGTGGTGGGAGGAGAAATCACGCAGCTGGGTAAGGACGTTGAGCAAGAAAAGAGGACCTATAAAGAAGGGAGCACAGGAACAGGGGTCTGACAGCATGGATGGGAAAACAGAGCAGGGAAGCAGGAGTGCAGCGGGGCATGCAGGGTGAGCGGTACCGGGTTGCGTGGGTCGGCGAGCATGGGGAAGAGGCCTCGAATGGCGAGGCACTGGCGGGCCTGGAAGGCACCAGTGAAGCTCCACTTGAGCTGGTTGGTGCTGAGGCGCGGCACCACCACCACCAGCGTGGGCATCGTGGGCTTGTACTTGGCCACCAGCCTGCCATGCACCCAGCACAGTGCCCAGTCAGAACAACACAAGTACTCGCCAACCCACACGCCATGCGAGAGTTCTGAAGTGCGTGACAGGGCAATGGTGTGGTGTGATGCATGATGCGGTACACGTGGTTGTTGATGCGTGTGGGGCAGCACACTGGAGTGCAGGGCTGACCTAGCTGTGCGGCCTGACGACGTGAAGACCACGATGGTTGACGCGCGCACCTTCTCTGCCGCACGCACCTGGTGGGACCAGCACCACAAAACCAAAGGGCACAACCACACGACACAACTCCAGCGAGCGGGTGAAACATGGAGAGGGCCATTTGCAGCAGCAGCAGTGGTCCAAACAGGGCGCGTTACGTTGGGACCCAGCACACAGCACAGGTCTGAGGTGCAACGACAAGCACCACGCACGCGCATGCATGTGCTATGTGAGTGCGCTTGGCAACAAGGTGGTGCGGTGCAAAAGGGAGTGCGCATACTGCAGAGGAGCAGATGGATTCGATGTGGCTCATGGGCTCGCCCACGTATTTGACCGTCTTCTTGAAGTAGAGCTGCTGGTTGTACACCTTCTCCGCCTGGCCCATGCATGCGCAGGAAGGGGGGGTAAACAAGGAAGGTTGATAGTACATGTGTGAATGTGTGTGTGTGTCAGCGTGCATGCACCTGAGAAATTGCCGTAGCGAGAGAAGGACGGGGGGAGAAGGAAGCATGCAGCACGGCATGGTACCTCAGCGCAGATCTTGCGCACGGTCATGACGGTCTCCACGGGGTACAGCCCTCGCAGCGTCTCCGCTCCCAGCAGCACCGTGTGCGTGCCTGCTCTTGCACACCACACCGCACACAGCACAGCAGCAAAACCACAAACGTGGTGTGTGGGGGAGACTATACACCAGTTCCAACAAAAAACAAAAAAACATGTGCGTTTGACAGCAGCATGTGGCCACTATTCCACTTTGATCGGCACACTGAAGTACGATACGGGGTGCATGGTGGGTGCACGGACCATCAAGCACGGCGTTGGCAACGTCGGTGGCCTCGGCTCTGGTGGGGCGCGGCGTGTCTGTCATGGTGTCGACGACACGCGTGATGATGGATGGCTTGCCCGCCATGTTGCACTTGAAGATGGCCGCCTTCTGAAACAGAAACACCTGCGCTCCCCCCCGCACCACGGGGATCAAAGCAGGCAGGCCGTGGCACATGCGACAAGGATGCAAGAGATAGAGAGATACGTGACGAGCGTTGGGGAGCAATTAATCACCACTTCGGGGAGCTGAGGGTGGAAGACACAATGGTATAGGTGCTGAGGGTAGGTGTGTTGAGGGCAGGGGTGCTGGGGTGCACTCTGATTCTTACTGTGATCAAGCAGGTGGGGAGCCACATTAGTGCGCAATGCTCTCGAGGCTGTGACTGGAATCGCTTACTCACCTTCTCTGCTGGGAGGTCAATGCCCAAATCGCCTCGTGAGAGGATGATGCCGTCTGCCTCCTGAAGAATCTCGTCAAAGTGCTTCAATCCCTGCTCACACACAACACAACCGCGCACCCGGCACCGAGACACAGTGAACGAGCAACAAGAGTATCAGCCGTGAACACAAACCAAAGGGTGAAATGTGGGGGGGGCGTGGGATGGCATGGGAGAGAGCGAGGGCGAGTGAGAAATGGGAGTTAGCAGGGGTGGGATGGTGGGTGCAGCTGACCTCCATGTTTTCAATCTTGGCATAGATCTGCGTCTGAGAGAGATCGCCCAGCTTCGACAGCAGTGCTCGGGCCTGCTCACGGGACAGAGAATGAAACAGGATGGGAACAGAGGGCAAGAAGAACAGACCCAAGCCCACAAACACATGAGTAGGAGTAGAGTAAAGGCAAAAAGGACAGCGAAGATGTGCACGCAAGGGGGACCTGCGACAGCACCATGACAGAGAATGATGCAGCACCTGAGAGCACATGAGACAGCGCCTGAGACAGCATCCGAGGCAGCACTCAAGATAAACCCTGAGACAAGATATGAAGTAGCAATTGAGACAACACCTGAGGTAGCACCTGAGGCAGCACCTGAAGTAGCACCTGAGGCAGCATGCGAAGCAGCATCCAAGACAGCACTTAAAAGAAGCACCTGAAGCAGCAGCAGCAGCAGCAGCAGCAGAGCACCTGGCGGACGTCGTCAGCGTGGCGTGTGAAGGAGAGGGAGATGATGTCGATGCTGTTGCGCTGCCCCCACGTGGCAATCAGCCGCTTGTCCTCCTCCGTCAGCGTCGGCAGGTCTATGCGCACCTGTGCCGCCCAGGGGTGCGGGTGATGGGGGGACGACACGGGTGACACGAGGGGCGTGGAGACGAGAGGACAACTATGGAACAGAGACAGGGAAGAGAGAGAGGCTGGAGGAAGTGCAGAATGGTGGGGAGTGGGGAGTGGGTAGAGGAGAGTAGAGAGGATGGTGAGGATGCAAGTAGGAGAAGAACTATGAATCCTGTAGACTGAAGCAAAACACGGGGAAATGGGATAAGGACGCGGGAAGCGACGGGAATGAGATGGGGATGGGAATGGGGATGTGCAGCAGCGCTATAGGCGAGATCACCAACCTGTGCCACGTGGGCCGTGAACACAGTGCCCGCCAGCGTGGCACTGTTCTTAACGAAGCAGATCACATCAGCGCCCTTCGTCTCGTGGACCTGGTAGCATGGCAGCACGAGCACATGGGCAACACAAGGTGAGGATGAATGACTCCGCACACCGGGTCTTGCAAGGCACAGTGGCAGCACAACAGACATGGACACATCAGAGGGAGTGCATGCAAGGTACAGGAAAACGAGAATCAAGCAGCTTATCAGAAATGGAGAGGCGAGGCCCAGGGAAAGGCGCGGGCGAGGGCGCGGGCGAGGGCGAGGGCGAGGGCGAGGACGCGGCTAGGGAGGGTGGCGAGGGCGAAGAGGGAGTAAGGGCGGAGGGGGTGCACCTCGAGCCAGACGGAGGTGGTTTCGCTGCCCGTGAACAGGTACTGCCCCACGAAGATCTCATCTCCCGGCTTCACTGCCTGCACGGGGCGCCACAGAGACAGCGTGCAGTGAGAGTGCATTTGCAACTGAAGTGGCGGAATGCATGGGCACATGTACGTGTGTGCAAGAGCGGTTGCACATGGGAGCAGGTGGGTGCGAGTGGGAGCGCCGTTGGGCGGAGGGGTGAAGGGCGGAGCGGGCAGCAAGTGAAGGCAAGGGATACCTTAGCGCGGCATACCTTGGCGAGGCATACCTACCTTGGCGAGGCATACCTACCTTGGCGAGGCCCTTGAAGTTGATGGGGAGCAGCTGCGAGGAGATGGGCGCGGCGGAGGGGCTGGGCGTGATGGTGATGGAGTCGCCGGCCGTGAGCGAGATGGGGCTGCCCGACGCGTTGTGGATCGTGATCTCCGGCCCCATCGTGTCAAACATCACCTGGGAGCCACGCCACCGCGCCCAGCACGGCGCAGTGAACCAAAACGGCCACACGACGGCCACACATGACGACCACACATGACGATCACACACGATGGCGAGGGGCGACGTTGGCAGGAAGGGAGAAAGGAAGAGGGTAAGAAACCGCCACAGGACGCAGACACCCACAAGTTGAATCTCCAGCATCGAGAAAGACGGCATAAACGAGCGCCTGGTGGGGTGGCTCATGGGTGGCACAAGCAACAGTGTGGAAGGTAAGGAAGGGGAGCATTTAAGGGCGTACTGGAGTCAGCGAGGGCGAGGTGAGTGTGAACGCGGTTCTGTGGAAAAAAATCGGCGTGAGGGACCCTTACCGCACAAAGCTTCTTCGTCTTGCGCATGGCCGCGCGAAGGTTGTCCAGCGTGGTTTGGTGATAGTCCGAGTCCCCATGCGAGAAGTCGAATCGCGCGACTGCGAGCACGGGAACCAACGCAACACGTTTGGGAGAGGGAGCGAGATGACGAGCCTTGACAGAGCCAGCAGGGAGTCGGACAATGGCAGTGCGGAGCGGGAGGTCCGTACCGTTCATGCCGGCTTCGAGCAGCCCTTCCAGCACCTCAACGCTCTGGCTCGTCCCACCAACGGTCGCAACGATCTTGGTCAGACATGGCAGCGATTTCTGCGGAGCATGATCGACATCGGGAACACACAGGTGACGATGCAGAAAAGTTCCGAATGATGTGCGTGTGTATGTGTGTGTGTGCGCGCGCGCGCGCGCGTGCGTGTGTGGGGGTTGGGCTGTTTAAAAAAATTGTCAATATCAATTGTCATCAATGAACCGCCGAGTCCATCGAACAATCGAGACTGAAATAAACGATCAGTCGCTAAGAGAAATTCGACACTGCAAGGCGGTGATTGGGGAAAAACCAGGTGATGGGCGGACGTCAGGTGATGGGGAGAACGCACATGGTAGGACGAGGACTCGAGAATGGATGCCAACCGGATTGGCTCCTCCAGGAGGAGATGGCTCGCCTGTACGCACCGCAGAGGCGGTGACAAAAGGAGACCCGATCACAAGACAAAGGCAATCGTTCCATCTTTCTCCCGTTACTCAACCCAGAAAGCGGCAGCCGGAGCAAATAAAGCAGGTCCAGGATGCATCAATATGAATCGGATGAAAGCGTTCCGAAAACTACTAGAAGGGCAAAGAGCCATTGGACAACAAGGATGTCGAAGACAATGACAGAAGAGATAAGTGGAGGAGGGAATACGGAGTGACAAATTGCTGAAGCCTTACATTATAAGGGGCCATGTTCGTTAAATAAGGCTGGAAAGAGAACGAAGTTAGTTAGCGGCAAGAACTGCTGTTTACTCTCCTTCGATCCAACCAAAGGAGATGATGGTGGCAGGCGAAGTAGGCAGAGTATGCTGCCAAGCCTGTTTGGTGTTTGAAAACCCAAAGCCACCTGAATTTCCGAGCTTAGTACGATAGGTTGATATCGGACGCCCACTGACTGGCCGACGAATCGCAATTCAAGTTCCGGCAAGTGAAATGCTCCAAACCAGAAATCAAAGCCCAATCGGAGGGGCCCTAAGGGGAATAACTTGTGGTTGTGGCACGGAGAAGCCATGCGTCAAACAAGGTTCTATTAACAGGTTAGGTTATAAAAAGGTCAAAGAATAATGGGTCTTTAGTTGATCCCTGTAAGGAAAATTCCTTTTCCTTACTTCGCATCCCTGCTCAACGCGTACATCACTGTAGCACCTCAGTCAGCACCGTTACCACTCGCATCGATAATCCGCCCGCCATTTTTCGCATGTTGCACCCCGACCTCACGGCTCGGCGGTAACCCGCGCTCCGGACCTCCGCCTCGACACTTTTTCCAACCTCAGTCCCAGGCCCGTCGCGCGACAACCACAGTCCATTACCGTTACCACTGTAGTTTCGCTATATAATTCTTCGCTCATGCCTTCGCTCAGTGTACTCTTGCTTCGATAGTGCAATCTTCGTTCGCTCACTCCATTGCACCCGTAACACTTGGTATTCAGGGCATGTTCCTACGCTCTTATCAGGCAAACCTCCTCTCAGCCTTGCCTGGTAAAAGTAGCGAGGGTTTTTGGGTTTAGGGAATTTTCAGTGTGTTTTGACGTGAGCTTGATAAGAGGTTGGCCTGATAAGGGGCCGTAGGAACATGCCCTCAGAGCCTACGATCTCTTCTCGGACCGCATTCACACCTTCGTTCCCCACTATCTCAATTTTTTGGGGGGGGTAGACGTCTCTCAGCGATCAAGCACCGCCGCTCGTAGTGCTCTCTCGTAAGCACGCACGGCCACGACAGAGGCTCTCGCTGCGCTTGCCCGACACCCCCGCCATGGCTGAATTTACGCTCGCGACGTTGACGCAGGAGCAGCTTGACCGTCTGATCCGTCAAGTTGAAGATTCAGCACTCGAGATTGCGACGCTCACGGCAGAACGTGACTCCGCGCGTCAGCAATCTGCGGCGAATGCTCCAGCGTCACAAAATGCACCTGCACAGTCAGACGAGCCGATTGTCATCTCGTCCGGCACACCAACACAGCACGACAGCGTGGGACAGCGCTCAGGCGCAGCCAGTGACAGCGCCGCCCAGCCAATGCCTGGTATGGGAGGAAACCGGGCCGCACCAAGCCCACGGGAGCCTCGTGAAGCCCGTCGGCACGTGGAGTTTGCGGCAACAAGTGGCGACCAGGCAATCATGGCGCCGATGCCACTCAAGCCGCAGCGCCCGCCCTGTTTCGACCCGAGCCAGCGTGGTGGTCCGACGGTTCAGTCGTGGATCTTCACGATGAACGTGTTTTTTGACGCGAACTACGTCGAGTCGGACGCAGCGAAGATACGATACGCCGTCTCGCTGTTGAGGGGCCCCGCTATGGACTGGTGGCGAGTCATCGTGACGTCACCGCGCGCCTACGAGCCACCGTCGCAAGAGGAAGGGCCCGCGGGCCCAGCAGTCAACTGGATTTCATTCTGCGAAACCGCCCAATACAGCACGTGGGATGCGTGGTGCGTAGGGCTTCGGGCGTGCTTCGAGCCGATCGCGGCTTCTATTTCGGCGCGTCAGAAACTGCGCACTTGGCGGCAGCTCGGGTCGGTTCAAGACTACACGAGCGGTTTTCTCGCATTATGCGAGCAGGTCGGCTACATGCACGAAGCGGAGCTGGTGGACCGTTACGTCGGAGGGCTAAAGCCGGAAATCTTGCAGGAAATAATGCTACGCGGACTCTCGAATTTTAACGAGATTCTCGCACTCGCCGAGAAAATCGACATTTTGCGCCGTCCGAGACCGGGGTCCTACTACGGACATCGTCCTCGAGGACCGATCGAGCACGCCACCATACACGCCGTTGCGACGAATGCAGCTGCCGCACCATTCAAGGGGCGCTGCTTTGCTTGCAACAGGCCGGGCCATCGTAAAAGTGAGTGTCCAGAGGAGCTAAGGCGCCGCGGAGCAGAGCAAGGGAGGGAGTCTCAGAGGCAGGGAAACGCCAGCAGTCAGTAGAAATTGGGCCGACTACTGACGAGACTGCCTGCTCGCCCAACCACACCGACCCTCACCGAGTCACAGTACCGATTCACGCTATCGATCGGGCTCGGATGAATAAGGAGGGTACAGCGACGGATTGCCCAGTACTGATCCACGGGAAAATACAGGGAGCAGCAGTCAAGATTTTTATCGACGGAGGAGCTAGTCACAGTTTAGTTAATACCGCGACCGCACGGAAACTTCAACTGACACTTAGCCGGTGCTTACCTGAGATTGATGCACGCTTAGTCGACGGCACGCCGCTGGCCATACGGGAGAAGGTGGAGAGAGTAAAAGTTCGCTGCGGAGGGAACTTCGGGTTTACACAAGAAATGCTCGCGACGACACTGGATGGGCACGACATTTTACTAGGACGTGATTGGTTGCGACGTTACAACCCGAGAATCGACTGGACGACAGGCAGCTGCACTGTGCGAAGTAGTGGTAACTGGGTCGAACTACCACGCTGGCAGTCGCCTAAGTCGTCGACGGTCCACGTCAACGCCATAACAATGAAACGGGCAGTCGCCGCTGGAGCTGACGTGTATGCAGTGGACATCGCAGTGGTAGGAGAAACTGAGCAGCCGAGTGATTTTCAGAAACTGCTGACAGCGGTACCGCCTGAACTACAGGAGCTATTGAAACGGTACCCGGGGATTTTCCCCGACGACTTACCGGAAGGACTGCCACCTTAGCGAGCGCACGACCATAGGATAGAGTTAGAGCCGGGGGCACAGCCAACTGTACAGCGCCAGTTCAGACTGACACAGCCGGAGCTCGACGAACTGAGGAAGCAGTTAGATTACCTGTTAGCAAAGCAGTTTATCCGACCGAGTTCGTCGCCGTTCGCCGCACCGATACTATTCACACCAAAAAAAGATGGAGGGTTTCGCATGTGCATCGATTACCGAGCGCTCAACAGGGTTACAGTGAAGTCACGATACCCCATTCCCCGCGCCGACGAACTGATCGACCAGCTGCGAACAGCACGGGTGTTCTCAAAGATAGATTTACGGGGAGGTTACCACCAGATTAGAGTCGAACCATTGGACTGCGCCAAGACAGCTTTTAGGACTAGGTACGGGTCGTTCGAGTATACCGTGATGCCTTTCGGGCTGACCAACGCACCTGCAACATTCCAGATGACCATGAACGAGGCGTTTAGACCACTTTTAGATAAGTGTGTGATAGTCTACCTCGACGACATTCTCGTCTACAGCCGCGATAAGCAGCAGCATTTAGCGGACCTGGAAGCAGTGTTTAAAATTTTAGAGGAGCATCGGTTATTGACCAAGGGGTCTAAGTGCGAATTCTTTCGGGATAGGTTAGAATTTTTGGGGCACGTTATTTCGGAGGCTGGGGTTGAGATTGACCCGAAGAAGCTGGATACGGTCAAAGCTTGGCACCCCCCGACAAACATCACGGAGCTGCAGAGTTTTTTGGGTTTTGTTAGTTACGTCCGTCGGTTCGTCCCTGACATGGCACGCTTAACTGCCCCACTGACGGATCTGCTGAGGAAGGGGGTCGTTTTTATGTGGGGGGAGAAAGAGCATGCTGCCTTCTCTACCCTGAAAAATGTTCTCTGTTCACCGCCTGTCCTGCGCATTGCCGACCCACACCGCCCATTCGAAGTCATTACTGACGCAAGCGACATCGCTATCGGAGCCGTACTACTACAGGATTTCGGGAACGGCCTACAACCCATCGCATACGAATCACGAAAGCTGCACCCACCTGAGAAGAATTACCCGATACACGATCGCGAAATGCTTGCGATCGTGCATGCGTTCAAAGTGTGGCGCTGTTACTTGACCGGCGCAGACGTGACAGTACGGACAGACCACCGATCACTACAGTATCTCCGTGCACAACCCCACCTCAACCCACGACAGATCCGCTGGCTCGACTTTCTCGAGTCGAATTTCCATTACACGGTCACCTACAAAAAGGGAGCTTCCAACATTGCCGACGCACTGACCCGCCCCACTGCCCAAATCCACGCAATACTACTCGCCCAGACTAGCCCGCTACTGACAGGACTATTTACCCACGGGTATCAAACAGACCCATTCTTCACCGGAGGCAATTCGCAGCAGTTTGCAGCAGCACGAGGGGTCTATTACGTAAAAGCCGGGACCGACCGCATTTGGGTACCCGGGTATACATTACTACGGGAATTACTGTTACAGGAGGCACACGATGGAGTTACCTCGGGACATTTTGGGGTAGAAAAAACACGGCAGCAGTTGCAGCGGTATTATTACTGGCCAGAAATGTTGACCGACATCCAACGACACGTGGCATCGTGTCCCACCTGCCAGGTCATGAAATCATCACGGAAGCGGCCGGCAGGACAGTTGCAGCCGATTCCACCCCCAGAGCGTGCTTGGCAGCAGGTGACGATGGACTTCGTCACGGGGTTACCGGCCGGGGCGAGTGGGAACGACGCGATCCTGGTCGTCGTCGATC